CAGACTTTTAAGATGATTTCCTGGCATAATTTACAACTGAAGACTATTTCAAGTGAAAAGCATCATTTGGCAATATACGCTTCCTCTTTCTGAGCACATTCTAACTAAAATAGCACTTATGTTTACTTCACACAATAATTTGTCCTTAATTACAAGAATAAATTACATTGGCAACATGAGTTAGGCAAAAAGCCTTTAAACGATGCACTTTGAATATCATGCAAACACTGGTGAATTGAAGCCTTGTTTAATCCATTAGTATTTCCTTCCCCCATTGTTGTTGTTATTTTTCAATGCTCTTTTTGATCTCATGGCAGATGACAGCTGAGAGAACAGTGAGGTGACCTTTGCCAATTGTGATTCGTGACCAGTCACAAGAAAATGTACAAGTGATATGACTGACGCAAGTACATACAAAAGGAAAATATAATTTGGTCCATCACTTATCAATTTATCATCAATAATTCTATCCCACTTAATCCTGGGGCGATGGGAGAGAAGGAGATCCGTTATATTTTTCTCTCATCTCAAAATATACTTGTGCAGAATATAATATTTATTTACATTTGTACCTTTATTTCTCAAGCCTGGCAGGTTGTTTTTCACAGGTGTTATTTCCCAACAGAACAAAAACAAGCATGATCCAATGGAATATCTTATAATTGTGGTCTCTAACTATCTCTTATGATCTTCAATCAGATTTCCTAATCAGATATTTGGTCAGCTTCACTCCAAGGAGTTAGTCAACACAACATCAATTACCTTCGCTGAGTTTGTTCCACGTGTTCACTGTTCTCTGGAGAAAATAAATATTCTTCCAATCTTTTGTCTTGCTTGCAGTTTTTTAAAATTTTGATCTCCTATCGCCAGGCTCTGAGCTCACAATCCAGGTTGAATAACTTATTTCCATTTGCACTTCTCTGAATCCTCCCCAAACCACTGATGCCATTGTCCAAACTTCCAAATGTGGCCTCACCAATTACTGATACTCAATTGATAAAACCTGTTTCAACTAATCAAAATGTCCTTTGGATGTATTTTAGTACTAGGATGCCCTTGTTAACGCTATTGCAGATTGAGTGGATTGAATGAATGGTCAATAATAATTCCCAAATGCTTTTGCAACCTATCTAATGGGCAGCCTTCACTGTTAACATATGTTTCATGTTTCCTCTTCCAATATGCTTTACCTTACATTTATCTACATTAAAATCCATCTCTCATTCCTTAGCCTATTTGCTTTATTGGTCAAGATGTGTTTTGAATGTATTAATCTCTCTTATAGCTGTCCTTTTAGCACACGACAGACATCAGCAAATGTTTTAATATTACTGGGTGTTTCCATCTCCATGTTCCCTGTTGAGCATCACTGGCCACTGCTCTCCCGAGCAAAGGGTAATCAATTTATCATCATTTTCTGTTTCATATTATCTAACTGGTTTACAGTGTAACTAACTGGCTTTTGGCGACCAATCTACCCCATAGAGATGAACCTGGCCTCTCCGAGGCAACTCCCTCGCAGCCTACGCAAGATTGGAAACTGAAAAGTCATGCACACAAAGCCATATCATTTGAATTCATTGGCAAAGTAATTTCTCTGCCACTTATGCATGTGGAAATACAGTCATTTATAAAATAAGTTATTAATCTGTGTTAAAGCAGAGAATCCGAACACAAGTATCATGAAAGCATTATGTTAACATTATTTCTAGGCTACTGTGTGTCTTCATAACACTGGCAACATGTGGCAACATTTTCTACCAAAGTAAATATACATAACTACATACAAGGTTTTAGAAAAACAAATTTTCACTAAATGCTTGTTGACTTGGTTCATCTAATTCTTTGCTAAAATATTCTTGAGTATATGTAAACAAAGAGAATCCTTATTCTGGACCCCATACAATATGAAATGTATGTAAGATATGTTAAACATCAGTAAATCTGGAGGCTTTTGATGAGTTTAATTTTAAACATGAACTAGCAAGAGCAGACAAACCAATAGCATACAAGAAGTCGTGGTTATTTCTGAAATAAAAGTTGAAGCAATGACTTCAGTGATGAAGTCAATTGGAACTCTAGCATTTATAATTTATCATACTGAAAGGAGAAAAAGCTATTAAAACAGGGACAATGACAAAATACAGTTTGTTTTTGAAATCTCCTAACTCTGAAACCCAACAAGCTATTTACTAATGATGTTTGTGGGTTTGGGAAGTGTTGGGAGGTTTTTGATGTACTGTTTTAGTAAGATGAGTTTGGCAACGTCTATGAGACCCCAGCAAGAATTTGTAAGCGATGATGAACTTAATGGTTGATAATAAATCCACTGAGAAAGGTCATGTGTTAGAGGTGAGGGAGGATAGGAAGACATGTCATCCTTTTGAAAAAGGCAACTTAGAAAGACTCATTAAAACAGGAAAGTGGCTTTAGAAAGATCAGATGACTATGAAATTGAAGAAGGTGATAAAGGAAGTTATCAGGATACCACTTATGGGAGAAACCTTTGGTATATATATTCATGATAAATTATTACAGTGAACAAAATAAGCCATGTCCAATTGTGAAAGAAGATTCATTAGTGCAAAGATATCAATAGATATAACTTACATGGATGTTATGTTTAGAACTATTAGTAATAATTCACTAATTCTGGCAGGATTGCATAATAGATACAGAATGATCTCATTGTAAAGATCAATCATTCTCAGCTACAAATAAAGAGATATTGTTGTTGGGAATTATGGCTTGAAAACAAACCTATCTGGTACAATCTACAAATGTGCTGCGTTGCAAGACTGTTTTTAAGACTGATTTTCATAGAGCAATTATTCAGTCAAGATCATCCTTCAAAGTCATCATTATTGAGAAGATTGGTTGACTAAAGATTTACTGCTATTTCAGTTAAAATGTCCCCCGTAATTGCACACCTCTGCTCTCTCTTTACACACTAAGACAATAATGTGCTTTATGTTATTATTTTGTAAATTGTATAAAGAGTTCCCTGTAACCTTCAATTAAATACTGAACTGTTGCATTCCCCAGTGAGATCTCCCTTGGAGGCTGATTTGTGAAGCTTTCTGAGACATCTTAAACTTCAATTAGAAGGTGAATGAAGAAACACAGAGTCAAATATATGCACTTAACTTCTGATTGACTAATGGAAGAGTTAGTTCAATTGATACATGGCAAAAAATAACAGAACACTAAGGAAACAAATTCTTCTGGTATAATTTTTTTAACAAAAAGTTCAGAGAGAGGAAAATAAGCACTATTTCTGCAGTGCATTCCCTCGCTGATGGAGCCACTGAATTTCAAACTATTAACGTGAGCAAAGCAAAACATATAAAGGTGCTGTCTCTCATTGATTAAGTGTTTTTGCAAATGTAATCAATGCTCTTGAAAATGTGTATCGCACAGGAAAATTATATATATTTTTAAAATCAAACCTTGGCATTAACCATTTAAAAAAAACAAAGCCACGAGAGGAGCCTACAGCCACGGGAGACAATTAATTGTGAGTCATCCCTTGGACGGTGTGAGGGGAGACTCCGGGCAACTGGAAATGTGGGCACAGGTATAAGTTAATTTAGAGAGCCATGAGCAGCATTAAATATGGCACCGTTCCTGCAAATAAATACTTTACACAGCATTTGGTCTGTACTCAGCGTTGCCAGAAATTAAAATATGTTTGTAGCCCAAAGTCAACCAAACATGAGCATCAAAGTAGCGCAATAATAAATAATAATCCTTGCATTTGATGTAGTGCTTTTCTCGTCTTCTCGACGTCTCAAAGCGCTTCACAGAATATACTGTAAAGTAAACTGACTGTATATTTGTGGGCGAAACACAGTAGCCAATCGAACACAGCAGCTTCCCACAAATAGTCATGGATTGAAAATGACCAATTTATTATTGGTTTTTGTTTTGGAGGGATTATTATTAGGCTCTGTGTGGAGTAAGGAAACTTGCCCAAGGTTTCGCCCTCTGCCTGGAATTGAACTCAGGTCTCTCACTTGCAAAGCGAGTGCTCTAACCACTGAGCTACAGAACGCCACAATATAATGCGATATTATGCATTCCATGCGCTGTGGGGTAGCAGCGGCCAATTTAGATTAGTGCTTTTGAAACTGTGTATGAAAAGATCTTTAAAGGGTGGGCGGAGGGGGGGGGGGGGGGGGGGGGGCGGCGGGAAAGAAAACATTGCAGATTTAAATGAATCATTTGAAAATCAGGCACGCGCCCAAAGCCGTTTTATTGAAGCGCAGCACAGTAAAGCTCGCGTAACAACAACAACAACACCACATTTGTATAGCACCTTCCAGGTCGGGAGGACGTCCCAAGGCGCTGGACAGAGAGAGCCGCGTAAAAGTCTGATCCGTACACATCGTACGATCGCCCGAACCGCACATCTGCCCAAGGACTGCCCACGAGGTTTCGCATCCTCTGCCGGTCTGAGCCGCCGCCGCCGCGCACCAGGCGTGAACATCACACGGGTCCCGAGCGACACGACCCTAACGCGAGGTTTCACTGTGACGCAACAACATGCGCATCGGCGAATACAGTTACACAGTCAACGAACGTTTACACTTCACGGGATCCGCTGCGGAAAGCCTCGCGGCGGCGCCGGGAGCCTTTCAAGCGCTCCCGAAGGCAGCGTCCGGCCTGACGGGCGCGGGGCACGCACTGCAATCAGGAGCCACACCAAATGCAAAGATTATTATTATTATTACATCATTGATATTATTGCTACGGTTACTATTGTCTGGACAGGACTTTAGGGGTCGGTTTCCTTACAGGTTTAGCCCTGGTCTGAGTGTCCCTGTGAGGAAGGAGAGGCTGAGGCCGTGGGGGGGGGGGGGAGGAGGGGACACACACACACACACACACAGAGAGAGAGGCTCCGGAAGTGACGGGAGAGCTCCGGAAGTGACGCGAGAACTCAGGAAGTGACGCGAAGGCGTCGGAAGTGACGCGAAGGCGCCGGAAGCCCCCCCCCCTTTTTCCCTGGTGCCGGAGCGGAGGCTGCACTCGGCCGACATGAGCGTCCCGGCCTTCATCGACATCACCGAGGAGGATCAGGTGAGAGCGCGGGGGCTTCCCGCCCGCCGCCCCCCCGGTGACCGGGTACAGGCTGCCCCGCGGGCTTCAGGGCCCGTGGCCGTCCCTCCCACCCACCCCCGGGCCGCACATGTGGAGGAGAGGCCGCGGCGGTGAGGCCCTGAGTCCGGGGCCCGGCTCCCACCGCCTCGTGCGGGGGGGAAATTGTGTTGGAGCCATCATCATCATCACCATCACCACCATCGTCATCATCATCACCATCACCATCACCACCATCCTTGCACTTGATACAGCGCCGTATCCACGTCTTCCAGACGTCGCAAAGCGCTTCACTGCACAACAACAACAACAACAGCATTGCATTTACAGAGCGCCTTTCACGTCGGGAGGACGTCCCAAGACGCTGGACAGTCAGGGGGTCAGGACCCGAGCGGTGGGGGGAGGGCTGAAGGAAGGCAGAGAGGGGGGAGGGCGACTGGAGGCGCGGTCAAAGAGGAGGGTCTGGGGACCGGCTTTGACGGAGGTGAGGGAGGAAGTGAGGCGAAGGGACCGCGGGGTGGAGTTCCAGAGTGCGGGGGCAGAGAGGCTGAGAGCGCGGCCACCGGTGGCACAACAACAACAACGACTTGCATTTGTAAGCATCCGGTAAGCGGGTCAGTTTGGTCGGGAGGTGCGAGGGCACGAAGGGATGTGAAAACGAGTGGGTGGACACACAGCGCCTTTTCACGTCTTCCAGGCGTCTCATTAAAGCGCTTCACGGGATATACTGGTGAAGTGAAGTGACTGTGTATTTTGTGGGCGGAACCCCATCGCTGTGCGTTAGGAGAGCCAAGATCCCAAACCAGACGGAGAGCGCCGCCCACGCCACCGACATCACGTCATTCCCCCCCCCCCCCCCCCGACGTGAAAGACGCTGTATCAATGTAATTTGTAGTTGTTGTTGGGAATTCTCGGGATGTTTATTGGCATGGAATGCCCGGCCACACACTCCCTGGAATGGAGGGACACATCCTGTTTACCTAATCTCAGGGAGTATTATTAGGTGCCGGTCGACAAGAGCCAAGTGTCCGTTGAGGCAACTGCTGGTGTCTAATCGGTTAAAACCGCATAACATGCCTCCAAGAGTGCTGCCTGACAAGCTTTCCCACTGTGTGATCAGCGAGGACCACTAATCAATCAGCTGGTGGGGAGTGTGACCAGTTCAGTTTCGGCAGTGGGGTGGGGGGAGGTGGTAGGGAACACCTCCCACCACCATGGGGGTAGCAAGCTGCCCGTGCGGTTAGTTAAAAGCAAAAGCTTGCAGCTATTAGGGAGACTGACCGACAGCAGTGCTGAGGAAGTAGGTGTTCCAGTCATTGATCAACATTGTAACATAACCACTGGATGTGGTTTTTGTCTTTCACATCTTATCTTTTCCCAGTTGCTGTACTTAAATGGAAATGAAACCCTTCCCATCTTTTGAGCATAGGGGAGGAGAATGTAATGGAGCTCAAGCTATAGTTGGTCTCTGTTGTAACATGGTGGTTTGAATCCATAATAAAAAATCAAATCCTAGTTTATAAAACTGACTGATGGTCACTGACATCAAATTGCCACAGATGACACTAAACTATCTGTATAGGAAGCTGGCTGGCCAGTCATTTGTCACAGAAAGCCAGCTAATCAGCACAGAACGCAGGCTCATAAGCACAGAGGCCAGAAGTGTTATTTTTTTCATTTGTGTTTGTCAGGCCTCTGAGCTTCGATCTTACCTGAAATCAAAAGGAGCAGAAATTTCTGAAGAAAATGCAGAAGGTGGACTGCATCTCGACTTGGCACATATCATTGAAGCCTGTGATGTTTGTCTCAAGGATGATGACAAAGGTTAGTTTCCAACATCATGTTTTGATTGAGTTTTGAATCGTTCACTTGAAATCCTTTTTTTTTAATATAGATGATCAGAGATAGTTGTAAAGTTGTTTGCTACAGAAAAATGTTTAATTGTATGATGTGATTTTTTTTGCTATTGAACTTCTTCTATCTATTAGTGTACTGCATTTCCGGATTTCTATTTTGCCACAGAAAGTGATTGGATATTTTCCAAACTTGGTAAACAACTGTAATAGTCCTAGTATTAAGAATACACTGAGTAATATTAGTCTTCGTTAAAAGTATTCAATCTTTATAGGATTAATGTATGTGACAATCGATTGAGATTTGCATGTTTAGTTTAATCATTTATCTTTTTCATTTGTATTTAGATGTGGAAAGCGTGATGAACAGTATTGTGTCTCTGCTCCTGATTCTGGAGACTGACCGGCAGGAATCGCTGACCGAAAGTTTGTGTGAGAAACTGGTGAAAGCTCGTGAAGGCGAGCGCCCGTCTCTCCGACTGCAGCTGTGAGTGTATAGCGTTCAATATATGGTGTGCAGTATACAACAACAACAACAAGATTACATGTGTGTAGCGCCTTTCATGTCGGGCAGACGTCCCAAGGCGCTGGACAGAGTACAGCATTTCAGACCCGAGCTGGGGTCAGGGAGGGCGAAGGGAGGGGTGGGGAAGGAGTCACCGATCGCACGGTCGAAGAGGAGGGTTTTGAGGCGGGACTTGCAGGAGGCTAAGGAGGGGGCGAGGCGGAGTGATTGGGGGATGGAATTCCAGAGGTTGGGGGCCGAGTGGCTGAAGGCTCTCGCGCCAATGGTGGGGCGGGTGGGTCGGGGACGTGGAGCAGGTTGGAGCCAGTGAGCGGGGAGCGCGGGCGGGTTGGTAGGGGGTTAGGAGGTCATATAGGTAGGGTGGGGCGAGGCCATGGAGGGCTTTGTAGGTGAGGACCAGGATCTTGAACTGGATCCTCTGAAGGATAGGGAGCCAATGGAGTCGGGAGAAAATGGGGTGCAGTATGCAGTGTGTGGCGTGCCGGGGGCTCTCAAACCTCTGATGCTCTTTAATGAGTCCAGGCATATTTTTAAATTTCACTACCGAGGAATTCTTGATGTGCTTTATTTCTTTATGTCCTTTATGACATTAAAAATCAAAACGAAGCCTGTGACACAATTGACGTAACTGTTACCAAGTACAGCAGTGTAAGATCTTTAATGCTTACATTTGATATAGCCCCTTATCGCGTCTTCGAGACGTCTCAAAGCACTTCACAGAATATACTGTAAAGTGAATTGATTGTGTATTTTGTGTGGGGGAAACGCGGAAGCCAATTACGCACAGCAGCAATTGGGTGACAAAAATTATTATTTTAAAGGGATACTAATCACAATCACTTGTCTAAAAATGAATTGTTTCAATAGAATATTGTTTTGTGCTTCCCAGCATCCTGACATTTGGAATGAATGTTGGTTATTTTCTCCATTAGGTTGAGCAATCTTTTCCATGGAATGGATGAGAATGTTCCAGCTCGGCATGTGGTATACTGTAGCCTCATCAAAGTGGCAGCTTCCTGCAGCGCCATTCAGTACATCCCTACCGACCTTGACCAGGTGAGCGAGTGAGCTTTTTGTCATGTCACGTATCTTGCTTTCTCCTCACTGGATCAAGTCCAGCCATCAAAACTTCCCCCACTAATGATCTTTCGCTGGCTGGCAAAGCACAGCAACTCTGGCCAACTCACACCGAGAACTTTTCATGTGTAAAATGGCAGGGAGGAGCCGTGACCAGGCAATTTGTGGCGGAGCTTGATGTTCTCCTAGGCTGTCATGTTGAGTGGGTTGAGTTTGTTAATGGTTTTGAAACGTGGTCAGCCTTATCAAGCTGAAACTACTGGTACCAAATCTCAGTGTTTTGTATTAATGATTTACCACGCTCTCCTCTTGACTCAAGTCGATTTTGTAAACAACTAATCATTGAACACAGATGGAATTGTGTGATGATTTGTCAGATCAGCAACCTGGAGGAGATATTTCTGTCTTGAACTGGCAGTATTGCTATTATTATTGTTGTTATTATTAATTATTCTGTATTAAGCGTTGAACAAACCCCCCAATAAATCTGAATGTGTGAATGGTTTATAATTAGGTTCGAAAATGGATATCAGACTGGAACCTCACCATTGAAAAGAAACACCATCTTCTGCGATTGCTTTATGAAGCACTGGTAGACTGCAAGAAAAGGTATTGGGAACAGTCACTGGCATGTACTTGAATTTAGTCTGGAAAAATAAACTGACTACTTCTACTCAATCAGCATTTCAGTCACTGAGATATTCTAAAGTAACTGTCATTGGCTTCTTAATTTTAATCGCAAAACCAAATATTATTGTTCTTTGTGAAATGATTGTATGTTGAGATAGTGTTTACATTCTCTAATAATAATAATAATCCCCTCCAAAACCAAAAACAATAATAAATTGGTCATTTTCAATCTACGACTGTTTGTGGGACATTGCTGTGCGCAATTGGCTGCCGCGTTCGCCCACAAATATACAGTCAATTCACTTTACAGTATATTCTGTGAAGTGCTTTGGGATGTCCTCCCGACATGAAAAGCGCTATATCAAATGCAAGGATTATTATTATTATTCTCTAATAAGAAACGAGCTGTACATGAATTCCCAGTCGGGCATTAAGTGTCTCAGTAGCTGCTGTATTTTAGAATGACTGTGTGTGCATAATGAACTCTTGTGAGTTGCAGCAAAGTGTCTTGAGGGATCTGGTCAACATATCTGTTACATTATGGTGGTTTTGTTTGTCTTTAATGAACATGAAAGCCAGTAACATAAGGGGGAAATATTTATTGCAGACCGCCACTGGCAGGCCACAGTTGTATTCCTCTTTGCACCATCCGTTTCCCTGCTCTGACTGTAACAGTCTGTTTTCCACTTAGACCGCTGCTTTCTTCTCAATGAGCCTGTATTGTTATTTTAATGTGATTTTGCGTCCTTCTTTTCTCAGTCGTCGTCTTCCCCCTGCCTAAGCTTCATAGGGCATTAATCCTGTAGACTGAATTTCTACTTTTACTTTGGCTCTACCATTTACATTTTAGAAAGATATAATATTCTTGATTTATCGGGATGAATTGATTTTGTCAACTCATTGAGATGTTCTAATGCTTATCATGTTATAGTTAAGAGAGCAATAGTTAACCTGGTGTATGTCAGAGCATTATGTGTTGCTACAAAACAAATATAATGATTTGTTAAGAAAAGACTTGAGCCTCACGAGTTAGCATCGTGTAGATCTGTATATATTAAAAGCATTAATATAGTGCATTGTTGATGTCATGACACAATCTACAAGTTGCAGATCACAAAGCTCTGCTGCCCAATGCCTTCGAGAGGAAGTGGATGGATTGTATTTAAATGCTTTTTCTGGCAATCGCAGATAATGTCCCTTTTATGTGTAGATTTAACCCTAGTAACAAACCACAAAGAATAATTTCATCATGCCGGCAGAACATTTATGTTTGTATTTAATTTGCAGAGTTGCTTATGTTTGCTTGGATAAGCCAATTACTTCTTAAAAAATCCCAAAGCTACGATATTTTAGGATATAGAAAGTGTCAAATCACTATCCCAAATTACAAGCTGACCCAGTTTTGCATTTTCGTCCTTTTTGATCTACTTCAGTATCCCTCTAGGGAAGTTGTCACTTCCTATAAAATTTGATGTATGTACTTTTCACTTTGTAGTTTAATCTTTTTAATCTTTGATCTGGATACTTCCATTTCAAAATCTTAAATCCCAGCTGGGCAACAAGAATGCACTTTACGCTTTCTGTAGTCTGTTACAATCTGCCCTGTCCGTTTCTGGGACTTTGGGATCTAGTTTTCTTGAAAAGCACTCCCAAAATAGCAGCCCTAGATGTTAACAGATTTGATGAACAAATGTACTGGCTTTAGCAGCAGATTTGTAACTTAAAGCGTTAATCATTTGTAATGCCTGCGTTTTTTTTAACATAAACAGCTGCAAAATATATGAACTCGCTTTGAAAGAAAATGTTAAAGGGCTCGAATGTCGTTCTGAAGTATGAATGAGTTGAGTATCACAGGAAGTGACTGAGAACAAGTCGTGAAGTGCACAGCAAAACAGCTCTAGTGCTCGTCTCCATAGGGTGAACCACTGCAAAACTTGCATGTATTTTGTGAAATGAATAATGAGGCCAATGCTACAAGTGCGGTCATTGGATTAACCAGATCATCCATGCACTTAAAGAAAACTTTTGATCCGGTGTTGTGAGCAGCCCAATTAGTTAAATTAATTAAACAGGAAAAAAGCATTGTTGCTTTCAACTGTCTTAGTTCACTTTGCAGGGAGAAGATTAATGTATTGTAAAAGATAACCCTGATGGATTTTGCTTTTGCCCGGCTCGCTGTATATTCTAGGTTGCCTCTGTGTTTTTTCTTTGTTTGGATCAATTAACTTAAGTGTAGGAGGAGGTTGAGGCTCGGTTACATTGAGAATTCCTTGCTATAAGGAAAAACATAATGTTACAGGATTTTTACTCTTGTCTTTTGAATAAAAAGTACTGCATATGAATTTTTTTTCTTCAAATGTTATTCATTTTAAAATTATATTTCAGGTGTCTTTTGTTTTGAAGATTACATGCAGCCTGTTGATGGCATAGCAACACTTATTTTCTTTGACCATTTTTGATGAATATTTGCACCAATCATTAATGTTTGTCTTTGGCAGTGAATCAGCTGCTAAAATCATGGTGGAATTGCTGGGAAGTTACACAGAAGACAATGCTTCACAGGCGAGAGTTGATGCTCACAGGTATTGAAATTTATCTGGACATTATTTCAGTTTGCCTTCATGTGCTCACTGGAAATCATTTGGATAATGAATTATTTTAGTATGTATTTAACTATCTTATGTACATTTTATAGTAGAAAGCAAACCTGTTTTGATTCCCTTTTAACAGATGTATTGTCACAGCTTTGAAGGACCAAAATACTTTTCTTTTCGACCACCTACTTACTCTGAAACCTGTTCGATTCTTGGAAGGGGAGCTCATTCATGATGTGAGTCATATAATCATTGATCAATTGGCTCCAGTGACAAACTACAGCATGCCTACTTACAGGCTGCATTGCATTATACATGTGTAGTATAGATTATTGATAACATTGGATTTTATACAATTTTTACAGTTTGTCTGCAACTCGGACTTTGCACAAATCATATTAAATGTTATGGTCCTGACTGATATGACTTATGTGAGTTTTACTGTACTATATTTTCCAAACTAAAACAATGTGAGGTGTAATGTTTGAATCACAAGACGTACAAAATTACTGGAGTGTCCCTTTGTGTTTGAACAAAGTACACTTGTGATACTACTCCTTCGTACAACTTTCTTTTGATTACAATACTCTTGTTGATGGATCTAAAAAAAAGCTCCTTTGATCTAGCAGTTTGTATAACCCAGAGACCACTGGAGTGAACAGAGTTACTGGGCAGCCATTCAATTCCCACGTGCGGCTGATTTTTTTTAAAAAAAAGTATGTAGTGCAGCAAGTTATTTTTTTTCCCATAGCCTAAATTGGTCATTGTGTTGGATCAGGAGTGTAGAAGCATTCAGGCACCACCTATCAGAGTTAAATGGCAAACTGTTTGTCTTGCTTACTGGACTGTGTTACGATCAGCCAAAGACAATTGATGTAAACGATATTCTGAATGTGTGATTTGTTTTCTCTTGGACCAGAATGTTGTTTCCACGTTTCTTAGCACAATCCTTCTGCTTACAGCTGTTTTTTTTGAAGTGGGTAGAAAATAAATGGAACCACCATACTGGGCTATGGTTTGTTATTCCAGTCCCAAGTATTTCTTTGTTGAAGACAAATAGAAATCTGTTGTAACTGGACAGAATTTTGAGTAACACAGTGTAAGCAGGTTATGAGTTACTAGGGTAACAATCCCACTTCTCTTTCCCTATTCTCTTAAACAAATACTGCATTTGTTTTTCCAAAAGGATTGAATTCTGACCAAAAGTCTCTGGTATTCATTGTGCCATATTTGCTCACCAATCTCCGATACAACAAAGGAAGCATAATTAGGTTCCCTTTCAAACAATCCGGTAGAACCAACATGAGCAATAGCATTTTGCATTGTTTCATTGAATCTTTCTTTATCAGCTGCCATTGACATCCAATAATGTCTTGAAGTCAGGATCGGCTTTTGAACAGGAACGTGAGTTACTTTGTCTCATTTGGAAGCAAAAGAGGAAGAAAGTCTGGGGTGTCATTTTTGTTAATATTGAGCAATACTGTAGATATGAAAGTTCTTATTTTAATTAAAAAAAAGTTGAAAATGAAGAGTTGCAAGAAAGTCAAGTTTGCCCCAAACGTCTGATCAAATATTTGACACATATTTCGCTTTCAAACAGTTATTCATTCTGTTGTGGATCTGAATCCTTTGTTGCTTGGAATTTACAAAGCTTTTTCTTTGTTTAATAGCTGTTGACTATTTTTGTGAGTGGAAAATTATCAGCTTACGTCAAGTTCTACCAGAACAACAAAGATTTTATTGATTCACTAGGTAAGCTTTTATTTTTTACATTATTATTTGAACATAATAATTAGTGAGTTTTTTCTCCCCCCCTCCCCTCAAAAAAGAAACCTTGGTCCTGACAACCATTAATATTGGTATTTTAATAATGGAATAGGGGTCTAAAGAATGACCCTGATCCTCACTGAGACATCTTCCCGATGTGAACGATACAAATGTAATTTTTTGTTGTTCAGAAATTTAAAAGACAGTGCAAGTTCTGTGAATAGGGGGAAAAGAATCATCAGCATCTCGGCAGCTGAAATGGAGCCGAATCCCTTGAGAGTTGCAGGAGAATTTCAAATTCAGTAAAAGGCCTGGGATGGATTACAATAGATTACATGGTAGTCAAGCGGTGAAGGGGTTCAAATTAAGTTAATTTTGTTGTCACGGTTTAATAGACTGTGGAACCCTGAATTTGGATTAACGCCATCGATCCTCAGGAAGCCACCAAGTGCTTTGTTGGTGTGTGATTGTTTTTTGCTGCAGTATTTTCTAGTTCCCGATTAGTGCTGTGATTTAAGCTCTTGCAAGATATTCAACTTTAGGGATACTGGGTTTTAGAAGTTGCAGCATTTTGTAATTAGAAATTTTAGTTGAGCCCTATTGTATTGTGAATTGAACATTTTTCTAATTCAACTTTATAACATTATTAGAAATTATCGGAAATATTTTCTGATTTTTTTGTGAGTCATAAAGTAGTTTCATTGCAAGGGAAGATTGGGTTTAAGATGAATCTTTTAAATTTTGTAAAGTAATGACTGCACTTGGTTGCTAATTAAATGGAGTTTCCATTATTCTGAAGATTTAAGGTTTATTTGCTTAATGCAGATTCCAAACCGACTCCAGCAGCATTATTTTAGAAAAATATACAAAGCAGCAACTTATAAACTACACCAGAATGGAGGAGACGAAGAGTAAGAAAGATGTTTGCAATAAATGGTTATATGCTGCAGAAAGCTATTAAGGGTCTATCGCCATCTCTAGCTATGAACCGGATAATTTGCTTCGTCTCTTAAGGCAGCAGGGAGGGAGTGTTGATGTCAGCAGTCTCTTTATTTACACACTCTAGGAGGGAGTGATAATTAACACTTCGGAACTCCCACAGTGCTGTGTAATTGACTGTTTAAAAGGTGCAATGATTCCTAAAGCATTATTTGATTTAAAATGTGATTTTCATACAGCAGTTGTTTTGGGATGGGGCTTAATAAATGCAGAATTTGCTTAGCGAAGCAGAATACTTTATTGCTGCATTAGGGGGTTGACATTATAGTAATGTTTGACTGAATATTAAATGCTTTTAAAACTTAGTACTTGAAATAATGGTGTCTGGCTTGCACTCAAATTCTTTGCGAAATTTTAATTTATTTGCTAATCAGATTTTCTGCAAATAAATCATAGAAGTATCTATGAAATGAGTTAATTTCAAGCAAGGGCCATGTTATAATTTTTTAAGCATTATTTAAAAACAAGTATTTATCTGGATAGCTGCTGGGAAGGTTAATTCCCTCAGATATCGAGGTGATGATTCATAGGATCCTTTCTCCTTGTTTACTGCTGTTATGTACTCCCTCCAGACAAATTGGATTTTTCCTCCCCCGATTTCAATCGTCCCTCACTTTTTCTCAGTCGGCTTTTTATTCACAGTTGATTTTTATGCTGGATCTGCTCCCAACAGTGGACCAGCCGTTTCTGGGGTTTAAGTGAGTTGGAAATGTCTCACCTTGACCAGGTGTTACCCTGGCTACTTGTTTTTTTTCCCCCTGCTTTCTCTTTTTATAGCAATGTTTAGCTTTAATGGAGGTTCACTGCTGAGTTGCTAATATTAGGACTGATTCATCCTATTGCACCAGTTCCTTATACAACTTTGTTTGTATACTGAATGTGTTCATTCTTACGAATTTTTTAATGTGTGGTTGTTTTATGTACTTGGAAGATTATAAATTAAAAGTTGGCAAAACCGTTGGCTTAAATGGAACTCTCACTTTTATCAGCCAAGGAAAGTGGTTGGTAGGATATTGGATAACTTGATAGTGAGCTACAAACCAGTCATTTCAAAAGAGGCACTCTGATGTGTCAAACTGCAAAAACAGACCTTTCAGTGGGTTTCTGATGTGAATTGCTGCCTTTTCACTGCCAAACATTTGTTGTGATATATGCAAGAGAGATTGTTTTTGTATTGATGTGCTTGCTGACAAAGCAGAGACAATATATGACACCGAGATAAAAAGATAATATGACAAGTGAGGCATTGTGTAACATCGGCTCCTATGTAGCAATGCATTGATTGGTTCATCCTAGCAAAGATTACTATGGAATCTATATTATTAAATACTGTATAAATAAGATTTTGGAAGGGCGTGATTTCCATAAGTGTAATCCTGTGAGCATCTACCCCTATATACTAACCAAATTTAGGTAAAAGTTTATTATTTATCTTGTTGTTTGTGAGCCATTGAAAATGCAGATGAGCTAAAAATAAAAACTCACAGGTGCCGTTTTGGGTCTCTATCTTTCCTGTGCTCCAAGAAATATGCTAAACCATAAACCGGTCTTGAAACAATTGAATTATATTCTGATCTGTACATAAGCGGGAAAATGGAGACGGAAGGGTGTACAGGAAAGGCTTGTTCAGAATAATGGAAGGACCAACCTACTCAAAGTTGTTAGTTGATTGGTGGGTCGCTTTTCTGGGGGTATTAATTACTTTTAAAAAAGTAGTAATTTCAATCCACAACTGTTTGTGGGATACTGCCGTGCGCAATTGGCTGCCGAGTTTCTCCCACAACATAGAGTCAATTCACTTTACAGTATATTCTGTGAAGAGCTTTGAGACGTTTCGAAGACGTGATAAGACACTATATCAAATACAAGGATTATTGTTAACTACATTACATTGCCAAGTGACAAAACTCGGGTTAAATAATAGTAAAACAACTTGAATTTATATTGCACCTCTCATGTAAAACTGACCGTTTCAAAGCGCTTTACAAAATATAACGTAAAAAGTGTAGAAGAGAACTTTGTTAAATTTAGTGTTTGCAGACCCTTATACTCCTTGCATTTGATATACCACTTTTCTGAAGACCCTTAAGAGGCCAACAGATGGGTTGGTGCCTCCTTAAAGTGCTTCTTGCATTCTTCTGCTGACATTGTATACAAACAGTAGCGGCGCTCAAGATTTATGACTAAATTAATTGATATTTTAAAATGTTTACTCTGGGTACGATATGGGGGGAAAGAACAATGTCTGGGTGACTGACGCATTCGAGGCACAAGATGGAAGTTTTGCAGGCGACTTCCAACAGGCGGCACGATTCCTAAAGTCGTAATTTGCCTTTATTAATGTTGACAGGATAGGCCAATAGTAACTGCTTTGCCCTAACACATGTACCCTTTCAATAAACCTCATCTCATTATCAACACCCTGCTTAAAGTTCATCAGTATCTCATTTGCATTTGTTAATTAGGAATAATGTGCATTAATTAATTTTTCAGTGCACATTTCCATTAAGTCAAATTAGCTACATTTTTGCCCTACTGTACCTCATTCAAATGAATTATGCTTTTCACTGTTCTGTTCCCATTAAAGCAGTGTTTGATGATACAGTGTTAATTAAAATTACCATTGGCTTACTATTAGATACTATGTAGAAGGCTTACTTTCAGCTCTGTTGGGGAGAAGTTTTGATGTTTTTCTAATCATTTCATGGTATGGATGTCTTCTAAAACTCTCCAGTTTTAATTGGTTTTGTTGCGTTATGAATATGTCTCAAGAAAGGGGGAACTACCTGTGTGTGTGTGTATATATAGCACTTCCCATGTAGAATAGATTTCAAAGAAATTTGTATGGCTGGTTAGTTGTGAACATTGATATTCCATTTGTATTCCTTGTATATTTTGCTGAAGATTGGAAATAATCACCGAAATTGGAGTGAAAATTGTTTATTTATTTTGCCATACAATGTACTCTGTGTTGCGATGATACAAAAGCAATGACACACCATAAAATGGAGCAACAATCTGCATACTTGAGAATAGCCGCCTAATGATGTGCTTCCATATGTACAGGCTTATCTCATGAACAGAATATGGAAAAAATGCGACTATTAACCTTAATGGGAATGGCAGTCGAAAGCAAGGAGGTTTCCTTTGATACTCTCCAGCAAGAACTTCAGTTGGTTGAAGAGGATGTTGAGGCGTTTGTCATTGATGGTAAGTAAATTGAACTGATTCATTACCGGAGCTGGAGAATGTGAATTCATTAACTTTCAAAAAAAAAACTTAATTCAGAAAAATATCAAATTTTCTTTGCCAAAATTTATTCATAACAATCAAAGGATATGGAGGGGGGAGGAGAGTACTTGCATTCCTTGGTATTTTTCCCCAGTATCAACATTGATATTGTCTGTGGAATCTATATTTCAATATCATGCTTTAGCCATTTTATTCCCGATAAAAGCTAATTTGGAAGGAATACATCCTTTCCGGATTATGTGTGCCTCCTGATAGAATAAGAAGTTGCATTGGTATAAGCAGAAATCTAGGAGAGAATACTACAGTGAATATGGTTTCAAACGATTATGCCAATGTGATTGTTCTGTGATTTTTGACTAAATGATTCCAGCTTATTTGATTAAAACTTATTTGAATTCCAGCTGTGAGGACAAAGATGGTGTACTGCAAAATTGATCAAACTCAGCGCAAAGTAGTTGTAAGGTAAGGTCATTTTAAAAGTCAAAATCTGGTTGAACCTACTTAGTGCTAAATGTAGACAATCGTATCTAGAACATGAAAAGATTTTACACAAATTCTAATCCATGACTTTGTTCGCATATCACAATAACTTGTCTGTCAAATTGCTCCTTAAAGTAGGATTTCTAAGAATACACAGTCTCAAAGTGATTTGATTTTTTAAAGTTAGCTGTCACGGGATTGGTTAAAGTATCTTTTAATTAGATTTTTAAAGATGTTACTTTAATGCTACAGCAACATAGAAGCACAACAAATTCTTACAGGCTTTTGTAGTCAAGCCTCCTTTAGCTGCACAGTAATTTAGGAATGATGCAAATTTGAATTGCAAGAAATGGAAATATGTGTTAATAGTGTAATGGTTTCTCAAGGTTTTAGAAGTGATTCTGGTGTTTCTACTTACATTAATGTATGTCCAGTTTGAGTTTTGTTGAGTGCTTTATAAGTCACCTGTAAATCTTGTCAAACAAATGTCTTTTCCTTACAGTCACAGCACACACAGAACATTTGGGAAGCAACAATGGCAACAACTGTATGACAGCCTTAACTCCTGGAAACAGAACTTGACCCAGGTGCAGAACAGCCTCCTCAGTATTTCCAAAACTTAAATGGTCCAAAAAATGTCAGGACTGCTCAATTTTTAAGGCCATGTCAGAATGAAGTTTGTTAAATGGATATCTGAGAAAAGATCAGGATTGTTGTTGGAATAATTTGTGAGTTCCAAACATCTAATAAAAACAATACACTTTATCAACTCTTTCCTTGGAATATGTTGTTAACTGCTTAATGCAACACACCAACAATGTCAAAATAATAAAATAATAATAAATAATAAAAAGATTATTATTAATGTCATACTTATTCTCTGTAACAGTAACTTGTATTTGAAACCTTTAACCATAAATATTTATTCACCAACAAAAATCACCAACAAATGACTTCACTCAAAGAGGCATACCTGACTGCAAGTACCTGTCTGGAGGTTAAGTGAAAGTACATGCAAACTATATACATACATTAAATTATTGGTGCTATCTTGATTTCACTCTCATCATTGCTCCCTTCAGCCTTCCTCTTTCTTGTGTGTCTCAGCCGGTCTAAGCTGAGGAACCTCTCAATTTCATTAATCTGCCCCTTCAAGCTGGGGAACTCGGAATCATGTTCATCATTGAACAGTAACTCGTGGGTGGTTGTTTTAGGCACGTAGTTAGATAAGCTAAATTCCCTCGGCCTGATCACTGGTGATGAATGGTTAACGTCTCTGTTAGAGCAACAAGTAGAGGATGATTCTGTAGAATGTTCTTGATGGTGAGTTGAACTGAACTGATATGGAATCTTAAGTTTTTCAGTGGATGGTGTTTCCTAAACATCAGTAAATAGTTACAATTGTTAGATGAGTTAACCAGACCAAAAACTCTCCAACCCAAACACAGCCTTTGCCATCTCTATAGCAAGCCGATTTGACACTGCTGCACTGTGCAGGGCTCCTCATTGACAATTTAAAATAAAAATGAAAATTTAAAAACTTATTTACGAAAAAGATTAATATGCTGTGCTGGTCTATGGGTAAATACTTATTACAATTAGCGTTTCCTTTGATTTAAAATAATCTTTGTTAAAATGACCAAATGGGATTATTTTAAAGGAATTCTGCTATTTTCAGGAAATAATTCATCAACATATATACAGAGGTTTAGGTGTTATTCTGCCTCAGTTGTTATCACTCTTGCCTCTGGATTAAAAGACTGAACAAGGGTTCCATCCCCATATCGGGACTCAGTTTAAGATCAGTCTACACTGACACTCCCATGTAAGTTGGGGAAGCATGGCATTGTCAGAAGTGCTTTCCTTCAGATGAGTTATTAAACTGAATATGTTTATTCAAGTGGACATAAAAGACACTATGCCACTGTTCGAAAAAAGGAGAAAGTTTCTCTTAAGTGTCTAGGCCAACAGTCCTCCAGGTAAAATTAGTAACTCATTATGAGGCTGTTTGTGGGAGAGACATTGTTATGTGCAAATCGACTGCCACATTCGCCTACACTTTACAGAAACTTGTGAAATGCTTTGAAACATTCTTGACATTTTAGGATTCAAAATCAAGGATTATTCTCAGATGGTAACTTCAGCTGAAGTTGCATCTAAAGCAAATATATCTCAGTCAAAAGTTTTTAAATTGACAGCAGTGAGATTGCAAGAAATTCAAGCACATTACTGAAATCACTGGTATCTTGAGCTGAAAAGCCATAAAATGGATATCATCTGGTAAATATATTTTTACAGATCATTTATCCTCATATTTGATGTATTTTGGCATCCTTTACACCTATAAATGCGTCTTGCTTTATCAGGTTAAAGGCAGGCGTTATCCCTCTATTAGACATGTTTCTGAGAAAGGGGACTGCCATGTCACAAGATTTCTCAGTTCACATCATTTCTCTGCATTTAAGAGCGTTAATGAGAACCAGATGCTACATTTTCACCTGAAGCCTGCTGACATCATGTTAATTCAGGCTGGGAAAATTCATTCAGTATGAAGATTAACCACTATTAACAAATCAAATTTGCATGAGGGGTTTGATAGAGAGGAACTAAAGACTGAGAACTGGATAATTCCATTTGTTTAAAAAGAATATATTTTTTTCTAAAAAAAATCGAACATGAACGTGTTTACACAATTCTAGATCTCTTAAATTATCTTGCCAAGGTTTAAACCAAAGTTTTAAAATTTACGTACATGCTCTGGAGCCGCAGAAATATCACAAAATGTCTGGGCTATTGCATTCCATTCTTTACTGGGATCTCTCTTGTGGTAAAGAGGAGAATTGAAGGCATTAAAAGTGTCGCTCACACTTTTAGCACTGGGAGAGTCTGGAGTGTCAAAGAGGAAATGGTAAGAATTACATTGAGAATTATGCTACAGTTTGAAATTCCCCAGATGCTAATTTTGGAACCTTTTAACTGCTAGTTTGCATCTGATCTTGAGAATTATAGGTATTTGTTTTGAATCAAAGAGAAGCTCCTCTGTTTGCCATTCACCAAACTATTCTAATGTATGACATCCTTTGATCTTGTGCTGTCACAAAACATTCAAGATTTCAAAATCTTCTGAAATATTTCTTCATGATGTATCTTACCTGACAAAGACCATGCCATTTTTGTCTACAGATCTACTGTTAATTGCTACAGATGAGCATAAGTACTAATTTGTGAATCAAAGCCTGAATTATTTTTATTGGGTCTCTGCATGTGCAATGTCTGTTTTTTTAGTGGGAACTCTTAAGGTTCCTGTCAGTAGTGAAGAGAAATATACTCCTAGAGGTCAAGTCTGTGTCTGGATTTAGTCATTGTAGGAACTGGTAAATTGATCACATAAATCATATTTTTTTTTGATTTGTTTAGTGATGGAAAACCCTATGTGACTAATGCCACCTTTTGAAAGGAAGTCAAGTTAAAAGGTAGAAGAAGCACATGATGTGAATGTGAACCTCTCTCCTTCTGAACACGCTGCACTCCACTCCCTAGGACCAATCCTGATATCATTGTCAAACCCGCTGAAGGGAGGCGCTGTCGTCTGGCAAAAGGACCTCTACCTGGCAGAGGCCGCACGCCAACTCTCTGACAACCCCTCCTACCTTCCCCACAGCTAAACACCAAGCCACCATCACCGAGGTGGTCAATGACCTCATCTCCTCTGGTGACCTTCCTCCTACAGCCTCCAACCTCCTAGCCGCACAGCCCACCTGTACTTCCTTCCCAAGATCCACAAACAGGACTGTCCTGGTTGACCCATTGTCTCAGCCTGTTCCTGTCCCACCAAATTAAACTTGTCTTATCTGGACTCCATTTTTGCTCCCCTCGTCCAATCACTACCCACCTATATACGTGACTCCTCGGAAGCCCTCCGCCACTTTGACAATTTCCGATTCCCCGGTCCTGAACATCTCCACAATGGACGTTCAGTCCCTCTACACCTCCATCCCCCACAAGGACGGCCTCCAGGCCCTCAGGTTCCACCTTGATCAACCCCAAAACCAGTCTCCATCCACCACCACGCTGCTCCGCCTGGCTGAACTTGTTCTTACATTGAACAACTTCACATTCAATTCCACCCACTTCCTTTAAATAAAAGGTGTCGCTATGGGAACCCGCACAGGTCCCAGCTACGCCTGCCTGTTTATTGGCCATCTGGAACACTTCTTGTTCCAGTCCTACTCAGGTCTGCTCCCTGACCTGTACCTCAAGTACATTGATGATTGTGTCAGGGCCGCTTCCTGCTTTCACAATGAGTTAGAAGCATTTATAAATTTTGCTTCCACCTTNCCCCCCCCTCCATAAAATTCATATGGACCATCTCTAACTCTTCCCTTTAATTCCCACACTTTCCCATTTCCCCACCCCCGCCGCACCTGCTCTGACAATGCAACCTTCCACGCCAGAGCAACTGAGATGTCCTCATTTTTCCTCGACCGAGGATTCCCATCGACAGTAATAACCAAGGCCCTTGACCGTGACCGCCCTATTTCCCGCACCTCTGCCCTCATCCCTTCCCCCCATCCCAGAACCGTGATAGGGTCCCCTTAGTCCTAACCTACCACCCCACCAGCCTCAATACTCAGCACATCATTCTCCAACATTTCCGGCACCTCCAACGTAACTCATCCACCAAACACATATTTTCCTCCCCTCTCCGCATTCCGATGGGATCGTTCCCTCCAGGATTTCTTAGTTTATTCAGCCGTCAGCACAACCAGCTGCTCTCCTTCCCTGCCACCTTCCCATGCCAGCGCAGGAGATGTAATACCTGCCTTTTCACCTCCTCCCAGACCACTATCCAAGACCCCAAACACGGCTTCCATGTAAGACAGCGGTTTACATGTACGACCACCAATGTAGTACACTGTATCCGCTGCTCATGGTGTGGTCTCCTCTATATTGGGGAGACTAAGTGCAGATTGGGTGGCCGATTCGCAGAACACCTCCATTCTGTACCCAAGGTCAACCCTGATCTTCCGGTCTCCTGCCATTTTAACTCACACTCCCATTCACAGTCCGACCTCTTCGTCCATGGTCTCCTACGCTGTTCCAATGATCCGCAGCAAAAGGTTGAGGAACAGCATCTTATCTATCTGCTAGGGACCCGACAGCCCTCTGGCCTCAATATCGATTTCAGTCACTTCAGACCATAACAGCTCACCTTGCCCCTTTCCCCTCTTCCTGTTACTAGAAGAGTTATCTTCTGTTATCAATACAATCATCACCCCAGACACTTTTCGCCTCTCTCTGGTGTGTTGCCTGTTCTGCACTATTAGCAACCCCACCCCCCTGTTTTGTTTCAACCCAGCCCCCTTTTGTATCACCTCTTTAACCTATCAACTAACACATTCTCTCCTTTGTCTTCTTTTTTGTCTTCTTTGTCTTCCTTGTCCTGCCTCCCCCTCAACTTGTCCTTAAAAACCTCTCCCTCCCAACATTTTCACCTGAACATGCCCCAGTTCTGACGGAGGGTCATGGACCCGAAAAGTTGACTCACTTTCTTTTCTCCGTAGATGCTGCCTGACCTGCTGAGTTTTCCCAGCTCTCTCTCTTTTTGTTTCAGATTTCCGGCATCTGCAGTATTTCGTGTTTTGTGCGTGTGATGTGAATTGCCTTCCAAGTTATATAGAGAATACTGTGTTTATGGCTGATGTTGAGATTGTCAGTATAAAGTATATCTTCATCTATGGTCAAGATTTCATGCCAGAAGATGACATAATCAATGCTTATTGAACGATAATCTGCAGTTCAAATACAGATGATAAAGATTATAAATTTGGAAATGGGAAAAAATGGCCATTGTTTACTAAAGATTAGCTAGAATGCACAATTACACATTCACCTTCATTAAATAATTCAAACTCTATGTGATACATCACATTACAGTTAAAATTGTATTTGCCTATATCATCTATTACTAATGCAAGTATTCTTTTAAGAAAGGAAAATACATACCTGTTACACTAGGTCTTCTCAACCTCATCTCACTGATTTGTCTTGCAAAGGTGAAAGCTGAACAAATAGGAGACTCCAATTTGCCTCTTAATAATGAGCATGCAATGCTTTTCTTTAAGTCGTCGTTTTCTTTGCTTGCCTTGAAAGAAGTAATATCATGAAATTTCCAGAAAGCGGGACGTATTTTGCTGCTTGTCAACGCTGCTTCATGAGGTGATATTGTATTTTCTTGCTTGAAAGATACAGCTGCGTTTGTGTTTCCCAAAAATCTTCCAACGGGAGGTGTTAATTTATTTTCTGCCAAATCTGAAGAAACTTTAGTCTCTTCTGTTTCAGAACGTAAGGCCATCTCACTAACCACTGCTTGCCCACTTTCCACTGTAACCACAGAATCACTATTAATGCCACTAATTTCCTTTATATTCTGGGAGCTCTGGGTTGGAAAACCATGGTCAGCATCAGATGTTAATTTTAATAAATGGTTACTAGATGTGTAAACACAGTCATCCTTTTGTGCCAGATTGCTTTGTAGATTCTCCACACAGTCCGGATTTTCACTATTAAGTACAGTTTTGTACACATGTTCTGAAGATGTTGTTTGGTTCACAGAAATAACAGTTTCCAGATTGTTATTTTCATTCACAGGAGGATCACTATGAGCAGGACTTTGCATTTCAACAATTTCCTTGGCAATGCTATCCTCTTCACTATCAGCAGGGATGATATTGCTTTGTTGAAGTGGAACATTCAGTTTATTGTCAACAATGTTATTGCTATTTATACAGGCAGCAACTGACATCCATTGGTTATCCTGGTCAGCAGGTAACACTGTAGCGCTGATATCTGATTTACTGCAGGTTTGATGAACTATTTTAACTGTATTACAGTTATCAATGCACTTCTTTTCTATCAGTTGATCTGTTTGCTCAAGCTGTTCCTGTGAACTAGATTTCTGATCGTCTGTATTTTCATGCATTATTGTTTGAGATACAAGGTCAGTAACACTTTTGTTCTGAGATTGTTTTGCATCCCTTCGTACTTCATTTGCACTAGCTTCATTTTGTAGAATTTCATCAATGCCAGGAACTGATCTGGCCTCGGTCTTAGGTGGTTCGTTTATAAAGACACCTTTGTCACACTGTGTGGTTTTAGTCTTATCATTTGTATCATAAGCCGCTTCACTTTTGTCTCCATCAAATTTATGTATGATGGAGTTTGTCTGCTGACCTATATTTGCACTGCAGACACCTAATGCATCAGCACTGTCTGGGAGCATCTTTCCTCCTTTAACTGGGACTTCTGCCAAACAGACAGAACTACATTGTGACTTGAGGTTTGCACTTGCAGAGTCTGCTTCATAGCAAGTGTTTCCTGTTTCAGCTTGTTGAATGCCTTTGGAAGCTGTGGCATCAATTTTCACAGCTGATAGACTGATGTATTGGTTTTCATTTGTATTTGGGGCCCCATCATCAGTCGTCTTCACCAACACCTCTGCAGATAGTTTTGCAATCTCCAGTGGCAACACATTGCTGGTTTCAACTGTTTCAACATAATAATTAACAGACAGATTTACCAAAAATCTATCAATTGTATTTCTTTAATTCTTCAACTTATTCTACATAGATTAGTTTCAATAAATTTAACGAATATATATAATGCAAAATAAGTAAACTGTTTTATGAAATATAAAAAGTGGTCGTTAATTATTTTCTGTTTCACAGCTCTTAGTTTTCCTTAAGGGAAAATTTTAAAATTTGCATTTGGTTTGGCAAGTGAAACCAGACCACTAGCTTGATCTGAATTTAATCTTGCCGACCTTGTGAAACAAGGTTAACCAATGAATACTTAGATTACATAGAATTCACAGCCCTGAAACAGGCCATTGTGCCCCATATCAGTGTTTATATTCCACAAGAACCCATCCTAATTCCCCTTCCCTATTTAATACCTTCTATTCCCTTCTCTCTCATGTATTCAAGGAATATTGCTTTATAACAACAGCAACAAATTTCATTTATATAGAGTTTCTCATGTCAGAAGGATGTCCCAAAGTGCTGGGATACTTTCTACTTTGTATACAGCTTCGCAGTGATAATGCACTAAAATCATTAAATTTCAAAGAAAACATTTTAAAAATTTCACTCAAGTTGTTTAGCAATGCTATCACAATTTTTTTTAAAAAAGGAGCAACTCTGCCTCAGTTTGTAATTCCTTAACTGAAAAATAGCACATCATTCCACAACTATTATCTACTTCTGACCTTGTAAAGCAATTTGTCTGTTCTCCAAGCAAAGAACATTTTATCAATCAACGTGCATACTGAAAGGATTTTGGTTGTTAATTCTATGCTTCAATTGCTATTTCTGTACCTGTGTTATCTGCGTCGACTATTCCATCTTGACTGTGCTTGTTGTTCTCTTTGTTGTTCTTTACCTCGTTCTTGGGTTTTTGGTTCCTTTCCTCTTCTGCTACATTGTGAATTCCTTCTATTTTGCCTTTGTGGTCAATAGCTATCAAGGCTTCACCCATACTATTCTGGAGTCCACATACTTCATTTGTTTTATCTTGTTCTAAATGATTTAGCTGGTAATAGCAGGAAACATTTAAGAAACAATTTTTAAAATACTGTACATGATTTATGTGGAATTATGAGTTTGTTATAAAGTATGTGAGTTATGTCACAATACCACTTTATTGGGCTATTGGAATTGTCTAAATACTTAATATATTTTTAGATTAATTATTAAATGGAAATATTAGTGACATTTGTATAAACCAGTAGCTCTTACTGTAAACCATTAAACTGAAATAACTTGCCTGGGCTAGCTGTGTTTGTTCTTGTTTTTGTGCAGCTGCCTTATTCTGTTTTGCCTGGTAATAAGCGTAAGCCTCCTTGACTGAGGCTAACTCTGACTTAATTATGTTGACTTCGTCATTTAATTTCATCTCCTGCAAGTAAAAAACACAACCTCCTGCTTTAATAGTGCAACCCTGATATCTGAAGGACCACATATGAAGATATGAGCTATTGAAACCAGCTCCTATAGTAAAGTAGAAAGTTAGCAGAAATAGTCATCTCCTATCGCACTCTCCCTGCATCTTGCTTATCTAAATTTTGAAAAGTGGTGGATACGGGTTGACAAGAGCCAAGGCTTGGAGATCCCAGATTGTGTGTTGGGGTACAGCTGGACAATAACCTGCTAAAATCACTTAGTTTCGCATTGCAAGCCCTGTTTGCCAAGCTTCCTACTGCTTGCTAAACTGGGACCATCTTACCAGTAACGGTTTTAGCTTACAGAGTTCACAGAAGGTGAGAGGGAAGATCCCTGCTTCCAGTGACTTGTCTGCTCCTCAAAGTCCTGCTGATTAGCCAGGGCTGTTTAATGCAGATCCACCTGGCTCAGGAACCAGCAGAAAACAAAATCACCTGAACTGGATATACTTTTGATGAAAATTATTACTATATGTAATCCATACTGCTTGGATAAATTGCACAAATCTAATTTAATAAAGTGGCGTGAATAGTTCACAAGAATATCAATAAGCATTTGTTTTACTTGCATAAAATATCCATGACGGACCTCCTTCCACGTAGGAACATTTCACGATGGATGCTCACAGTGAAAGGCACCAGAAATGAATACTAAATGGGATTTCTCATTCTGGATGTCTCCCATTACAAGAATTAATTGTAAAATTGCATTGTAATGTTAATTAAATACAGCTCTACAAATATGTACCTAAATGTTCAAAAATATTAAAGGTAGGCAAGTCAAGCCATGTGTCAAATAAGAGGCTGTGAACACCTCCTGCTGTTTTAATCATTGTCTTTACTGTAACAAGCTATATAGAGATTCTCCAGTAACTCACCCTCACGTATTGTCACGAGAGACACTGTATAAGGACTTAAACAACCAAATTAACTTAATATCAGACAGAATCACAAACCGGAATTGCTGTAATATGGTGTTTGACTGTCATAATACCGTTCTGAACCATTTTACTTTATGACTTAACTAAACTGCTATCCGGAACAACAACTTGGATTTATATAGCGCCCTCCACGCCGGACGGCGTCTCAGAGTGCTTTACAGTTTAGGATCCTGGGACCGAGCCGGGGGGGAGGGGTGGGAAAGTGACCAAAAGCGCAGTCGAAAAGAAAGGTCTTCAGCAGAGATTTTTAAAAAACGTGAACAACTATTTCAGATTTTCTTTTACCTCCATTTTCCACTGGGCTGTAGACTTTTTATTTTCTCCCTTGAGAACCTGAAATCTATCTTCATTTTCCATTGCCTTCTCCCTGAGGAGCTCATTATCCCTCTCTCGAGCCTGTCGTAAAATTAATTGCCCCAGAAAATTAATATGACATTCTTAGCCCTTATGTGATCTCTCTCTACTACATTCTTGCTGTGCCACACTTATAATAGATTTGTGCTCCGCTACAGATTAGTGTCCATTTGCCGTGTTACCAACGAATTTCATAAATTAGCAGGGCATGAATTTAAGAAATGTACATTCGGCTCGGCTCAGAGAGACCTGGAGGAGTACGCAGAGAGAAAAAGATAGCCTCTTCACAAAACTGGTGTCAGTAATAGGTATAATAAATACATCTGCTATAACTTTCTGTATCAGTGCACAACTTCTAATGTGCTAGGCTAAGCAATATAAAATGCTGAGCTGAGTGATATGGGACAGAGCTTAATCCACTTTAATGCAATATGTTGGTTAAGTCTTTTAGTTAGCCTTGAATGAAAACTGTCTCACGAATGAAAATAATTAACCGTTAACAGTGACAGATAATTCTTTTCAGTTTCTCTGTTCACTTCAACCTTGTTTTTTTGCAATTATAATTTTAATTATATATGCTATAAACAATTTTAATTATTCTGACCTATTTAATCAACTTACACAAATTCCTTAAACTAACAGATTTTGTTTATATAATAAAGCCAAATAGGAAGCGGAATTTGTTCTCGCCAGTATCCATCAAGTGCATGTTTTGGGAGAAAAAACACAGACCATTTTGTATCTTATAACATTTATAGATCTTATGAGTAAACATTTTTATTTAAAGACTGACTGATTATATTACACTTAGTTGCAAAACTGAAGGAAGACTAGGGGACCCTCTGGCTCTAGACAAAATAACTGCAAACATAATAGTCCTGCCAAAATATTAGGTCATCCTTGGCTGATGAACTTGGGAATAATCCTTGGCAAAGTATGGGGCACTGATCCAAGTAGCAGCTCTGCAGGTGCTGTCTACAACAACCTTTTCAAGGTTAGTTCACAAAGCAGACATAGACCTAGTGGACTGGCCCTTGATCTAAAGTGAGGATTTACCAGCAGCTAAGAAACAGCAATACATGATGCATTCCACCAGCTAGTTCACCAACCTTTGGATTCAGAAGTGTAGATTTCATCGGATATAAATAGACTAGTTAACAAGACAATATATTATGACAATATATGATTCATTTTATACACGATTATCGTGAGAACAAATGACAACTTTGAGAAGCAACAGGGCGCTTCTGGGTGGATGGTAACATTTTTCTGGAATGTTTAGTTTGATTCTGCTTAAAATCCAATTAGAATTCAAAATCAAAAATAAGAATATAATGTTGGTTCTTGAAAGCTCTTCATCATTACAGATCCAAATCAGGTAACACACCAGCTGCATGCTCCTAAATAAGAAGTGCTATTCTCTGGCTGTCATTTGAGCCAATTAAAGAAACTTAGAAATAATATAAATCTTCCTTGGGATGGGAGGGTTGACAAGTTTGCTTTCTGGGCTGATAAGGCTCTTCCTCCTCAATCAGCTTAAAAAGGCTGGCTTTATCCTTAAAGGTTGCTTTGACCATTGGTGTTATTCAAGTGTATGATTGAGACAACTCTTTTCAAGCATCTGTAAGTCTCTAATAATATTAAAAGATCTCACTGTGAGAAACAGATGAAAATTTTTAATCGCTGTTAACTAACGGGAAGCTATGACCTTGTGAAATAGTTTCAGGACAGATGCTTAATCTATTCATTGTAAATTGCTAATTAATTTACAAGCAGTGAACAAGGAGGTTTAAGTTGCAATGACCTCAGAATCATGGATCCAGTTCCAAAAAAATGCCTCTGTACCAAATAGAAAACATAGACTGGCTTTGGCAGACATTTGTGTCCTATCTTTAATATAAGTCAGGAATGGAAACAATTCCCACAGTTGTCCAAAAGAGGGAGTCTATAAAAGTTTGTCAAATCCTCAAATTGGTTCCAACTGAGATTCCTTATGATTCAGAGGAACCTGAGATCTTGAATAATGAACTGTTGCTTTTTTATAGTTTCTCAATGAAAATATCCAAAAGAACGCATCAATCAAAAGTAGATAAACAGCCATAAAATGGACTGAAATGATTGACAAGCATTTCTGATGACAAGTGGAAGTGATTGATAAAACTGGTAATTCCTTCCTTAAGAAAGACCTAAGAAATGAGAAGCTGCAATGGAAAGGTAATATCTTGGATTTGAGGGTGCCAAATAAATCAATTAAGTATACTGTCTGAATAATTTGCGATAGATACAAATTCTTAATTTTTGAAAAAATACGTTGACTCGATCCAGGATGGCACAAAAATCCTCTTTTTTTTAGAGCCAGAATTGCTAAGACGAAACTCTTTAAACATACTAACAAAAGTTTTGTGAACAAGTTTCCATATGAACAACAACTTCCTCTATAAACGCTTTTAATGTCAGAAACCCCATGGTCTGGAAAAGGAAAATACTTTTTACGTGTTAAGTTTGTTTTAAAGTAAAGAATAATACCAACTCTTTTTTAATATATCCTCACATTTAGATTTTTACCTCGGGTTTTAGTTTAAAATATAGTTGTCATTTTTACTTCTCTCGGTATCCTGACATCACAAAGACAATTTCAAGTCTCACATTACATTGTTACTGTCGATAAGATAAGTGTCAATGCAAAGATGACTGTGTTGCAATGCTTAACAGTTTTATATGACTCAGATCTCTCTGGAACCTTACATGTAAAATTCTTTTTTTTTGTATTGCTACAAAATTTTCATGTTAAAAATTGGCAACATTTTTTTGACAAACTTAGACTTATGCCTCAAAAAAGTACAGTCACCTCAGTTCAATTGTACTTGATGTTATACATTTTCAAACATGTTGGTCTTAATCATTGTGATTTACACAGTCGCCTTTACAAATTATTTCATTAAAACTTGTACTGTACTGATAAATCTCAGATGTCTCAGGTGCTTGAGGCACCCACTTACTTGCTCTAGTTTTTTTTAAATAGTAAGGGGTAATTTAAAGGACTATGATGGAAATCCTTTGAATCTCTGTGTAAATCTTAATACAGAATGACAGGGACCTTGGAATAATGTAAACAGAGTTTTAGCTACAAATAGATTTAAAAGCACTTTTGACTTAAGATGTGATAGTGATACTTACATGCTATAGATCTTATTGGATGATTCACAGATCTCAAAAATGTAATCCTATTAAGGAGGTATGCAACACAAAACTACAACTTAAGTAGAAATGATAATTTATCTGGAATTTTAAAGTCACCTAGTTTTATCTTACTTTGCAAATACAGACAAAAGCAGACAAGAGAATATATAAAGAAATCAAAGCATGGCTATTTTATTTAAAAAATCACTTATATTTTAGTCAAAAATATTTGGAATAACTGCATAGATCACATTCAATAATTCAAACAGTGCTGAGTAGCACATCAGTAGACAAACTCAGAGCGAGTGCAAACAACAAGAACTGAGCAGGTTTAAGAAAACGGGAAAGGCAATCAAACATAATAGAACAAAATAGAGACAGTTTGGGCTTGTTAATTATACTGTGGGACAGATACTATTCTATAAGAGAGGGAGCGTGCGAATATTCTGAAGAGGTTCAATAGCTCAACACCTATAAAACATCAAACATGAACCATGATAAGAAACTGCATATTTGGTGTCAATAAAAACACACAAAAATATTCTAACCTGACATTTCTCCCTGCAAATAGTTAGCTCAGTTTCAGCTCTGCCAAGTGCCAATTCTTGATGCTGTAGCAGTTGCTGAGTATGTTGCAGCGATTTCAAAATTTGCTGATCGAAACAAAAATAAAACACTGTCTTGATTGGTAACGGAGCAACACACCACAAAAAATGACAATAAACTTACACAATCTTGCATTTGCTAATGTTGTAAATGTTGATGTTCTTTTATTACCAGACAGAAAAGAGCATGTGGTATTATTTTAAAGTTTCAAATACATTGCTTTTTGTATAGTATTTCAGGTAACAGGTACCAAGAAGACAATTAAAGGTAGTAAGACAATTCTACAAAGTTATAGTAATATGCATAAAATGAGAGGAGAGGGAATGTGCTCCTGATAATTTTGGCAAGATTGTTTTAATCCAGTTAGGCGATAAGCACGTACAGTATTTAACAGCGTATGAACAGAGGCTTGTGCGGAAATTACTGTTCTCTGATTGCTAGTATCACTGACGCAACCAATCAGACAGAAAACATTTTAGTGCCGGCATTACTAAGCAATTTCAGCTTAAGAGCCACAAGAGGTCCAAAAATTCCAACTTGTTTTATGATTGCCCAGAATTGTGGAAAGTTCTTAAATTGTTATAATTTGGCAGGCGAATTTCTACAGTTCCTGAAAAGAATCAATGTAAAAGTCATATTATTGCTGAATCCACCAACACAGCAATTTGATTTACAAAAGTGAATGCTTTGCAGTTTAGTAACTAAATGTTTTGATTCCCACCTGTTTTTCTTCTTGAGCAGCGGACACATCATGAGATAGCCTCTTGTTTAATCCCACTTCCTTTCAAAGATATAAGGATAACTTGAATAGTCTTCATGACAATAATATTATAGATTTTATCCCCAAACCAAAATAAAGCTGGATAAAGTATGAAATCAAACTATAAAGTATAAACTATAAATCAAAGTATAAACAAACTGATTATAATTAAAACTGATAGTTTAGATATATTAAAACTTTGGAGCAAGAGAGCTTCAATGGGCTGTATCATAGTGTGATAGGATGCAAGGGTTTTGTCCAAGCGCTACAAGTCTTAGAAAGAGCACTATTAAGATCCACTGAGTTGGGCCAGACACTGCTTTGCAAGTAGATTTGCACAACTGAGATTTACCATGAGTCACTGTTCATAGGTCTGATAAAAGAGTGACCATTCAAACTCTTAGTGGGCCAATGGTCCACGAGGGATCTAAATAAGTGGTGACAAGTGGTGAAATATATCTACTGTACACTATTTCACTTCCTAAAGAAAGCATCTCTTGCAGCAAGGACTCATAACACTGGTCTTCAGACAGTCAGAAAAGGCACAATAGCAACTAAGTCACACTTCTTACTTTTCCTTCTTCCACTGTCTGCAACAGGGAAGGTGACCAGCTTTAATCGAGCGCCACCCCAGAGCAGGACTTGTTTTTATCGTCACCCACATTGGCACCACAACATTCACAATTCTAATTCTCCAAATCGTAATTTTCATTCTAAAACTTGCTAATTAAGATAGGAATAGAACTGATCTATTTTGAGATGAAGCAGAGTTTGATTTTAGCCTCAAAACATACATAAAGCTCGTTGGTGTCAGCAAAATGGTAAAAGCAATTGTATTACCATCTAATAAATAAATAATAATAATTTGGTCACTTAATCCAAGACTGTTTGTGGGATTCTGCTGTGCACAATTGGCTAGCCCGTTTCACCCAGAAAATATACAGTCAATTCACTTTACAGTATATGACTTGAAGCGCTTTGAGACGTCTCAAAGACGTGATAAGGCATTATATCAAATGCAAGGATTACTATTGTACATTATTGTACAACATGAAACATTCTGTACTCAGTATTTTAGTGTTTGTTATGCACCATCTGCAGTTTGTGGTTCAGTTCTTGCAGCTGCTGTCGTAGTGTTGTAAGATGGAGGTTCTCTTCTCCCAGCTTGCAATGAGAAGTGACCTTGGATCTTATCAAGTCTGTAGTTACTTTCTCCAGTTCCTGAATACAGATAAAGTGTACAATAGGTCATTTGAATATCATTCACTCTGAAACTGCCATTTGTTTTTCCTTTTGAAAACAAGTCTGTTCTGTGCTGTCAAACAAACTGGTTATCACTGGTACAAACCAACCTGCCCAACACTGAATCATCACTTGGATAGCTGGCTTACTCTTAAATTCAAAAGAAGCTGTACAAATTTAAATAATTTGTTTACTTCAATGTATCAAACTGATGGGTGTAAGGAATAAATGTTGTGAGCTTTGATCTCAATTAATGACAACTTATGGAACTTCAAGTCATAAATATGCTGCCCTTTTCTCCCCCACCCCCTCTCTCTCTAGTGTAGGGTAGTCTGTTTTATATCCTTCTCTCCTTGAGCACATTGACATTTACTCAGACAAACAGCAGGGGTTATGAATGCAGCTCTCTGATAGTATCAAGGATTCTTGATGATGCCATTATATTGAACTAAGCATTCAGAACAGTAATAGTTTTATCTGGCCAATGTTTGGTCTGTAACTTTTCTCTGAAAAACTGGAATTCCATCTTATCACATCACAACTGTTAAACTCTTCTGGACTAAATCAAATAACGGTATAAACAGAAAGTTTGATTTTCTGTGATTCTAACAAACACATTGGCAGCAGTTCTCATATATAAATCTTCAAATTAAGGATCTCATATTAAATATTTTCCTATATAATCAAAATATTCATCCATAAATGTAGTTCAATTGGACTTGCTAACAAATTGACCAGTTCATAACAATCAAGTACGTATTGTAAATAACTACCAGTATCAAGGCACTGTCCTTGGTTCTTCATGTGAGTTTTGTAGGTTTGACGATTCTTATATATGGTCCTGTAGAGCCTTATTTTTAATTCATACTGTGTTGGCTAACTCATTTTCATGTTCAACATACACTAAAATCGATACTGAGATGTAGTGTAAAATGGCTTCAAGGCAAAGAAATTGCAATGGGGCCTTGTAAAATGATTATCCTTCCCACTGGAAAAGGTTCCACTACTGAATTTCAATTGTTTCTGAGTCAAGTGACTAAATGAAATCCATTAGCCAACAACTAATCACATTGGAAATTTCGATGCAAAAATAAAAGCTTACCAGTTGGGGGGTGAACCCTTTCAACTGGAGACATTTCTTTCTCTATGCATACAAACTATTAATAGTCATAACTGCAGAGGGCTAATATAATTAATAAAAGCACGATGAATATTTCTTTATGATAGATATGAAGATCATTATGAAGATAAAATTGAATATTTGCCAAATTTTAACATGCTTATAACACCCTCAGGTAAGCATCAGAAAAATAATATCCAAAAATGTTTGGTAATGCAATTTGATTGATAATTTATAATATGGTAATAAAACAGCAGAGAATTTGAACGAAAATAACCACTGCTTTAGAGAATTAACTTCAATAATGATAACCTTCTTTACAGTAAATATAAATGGTCTTGTAAATGGAACTTCAGCAGGATTTGACCACATCAGAATTAATCTTGCATGAAATGCACTATATTGCAATTAATTTAATGTTAATATTGTACTACAAAATTATTAATTTGAGAGGGTTTAATAACTGTAAGCAAACACTATTCAGAATTAATTGTCTAATCTATTTATTTGTCTGGGTAAAAATTATAATTCACAGTTTTAATTAATTAATATCAGAAAAGTGGCAAAGTGATATTAAATATCTGGTACACATTTCAAAAATATGACCTATTGCAAGTTTCCAGCTAACTGTCTGAATTCCTGCACTGAAAAATTTGTATCGCCACATAAATCTCTGCAGAGCATCAAATAGCACTGCAAGAAAATTAAATAATCTGGAGCAATAAGCAATTGGAAAGGAACACAACTATAAAGTACAAGCTAATAAAGAATAATGACCATACATTAAACAAGCCCAGCAGTGTAATTACAGAGCCCCAGAGTAGAAACAAATTCCATTATTTCTCAATGCTATTACCTGTGATTGGTGTCTCTTAGCATTCAAGCATTGATATTTATCTGAATTTTAAATTAGGGCATTCTTTTTAGAGATTACACTGGCGTGATTTGAAAAGTGAAGGAAACTAAAATGGGATACTAACATGGTTACATGTAAATTTTACATTAGTGTAGGTGTCAATGAATCAGTAAAATTTCCCTCTCACAGGGAAAAATCTTGCTGTTATTTTGAGTAAAGACAGCAGTGCTCTTTTCTGACTATGGTTTGACTACGCTACCCTGTGTGGAGGGCACTTTTTAAGTGCAAATTGTTGTTGTTGTGCTTCTGTGCACATTTATGCACACAGTGTTTTCAATATTATTCTGAGAGTTCTGGCAACACTTAATAGATTGTCATTGAATCAGTGAATAATTCACAAAGAGAGACATGAGGACGAAAAGTTTTCTTCAAATCACGCTTGAATCAGAGAAGGAAAGGGAGGACCTGTTTTTTCCATTGCTGAATAAATTAAACAGAGTACAGTACTACAAATGTTTCATTGCAATTTATTAAGTATATTGTTATTGTTGATCACTAAACCTAACAATGTTGCCATTACTTGCTTTCAGTGGGGTTCATTATGGGAAATCCCATTATAAATAAATAAACAAAACAATGTTATTTTTAACCTATAACAGAATAGATCCCATTGTTCTCAATGGGTTCTTCAAATGTGCAATTTTACTAAATCAACCTCACAGTCCCTAAATTACCTGCTTCAGATCATGTATGACACTCTCCTGATTTTTATTCACACCCATCAGCTTTTTATTCAGTCTCATTGCCTCCTCCACTGTAAAACAATTACGAAACACAAAATTATTTCTACAAAATCAATAAATGTATTATCATCGAAAGTATGGGGATTAGCTTTGTTTCACCTGGAGATTATATAAGGTAGGTTGATTACCACCTTGAATAGGAACTTTTAAATATAACTTTTCTCTTGACGAAATTCTAGCTTTTTCTTCAATCAGAATCAGAACTGTGTAATTTATGCAGAATTTACAAGGTTTGTATGTTTGACACAGCAGGTTCTTTAAGGAGTCAGTACCATGGGTTGCGTGGTATAACATTGCAATATGTACTGTGGTATAACTTTGGATTTTAACATTGCAAGCAAATAAAGTACAGAAACATCACCCCCACCCACTTTAGGCACTGCACTTTTTCATTAAAAGTTCAAGATACTAGTTTGAACACAAGTACCTTCACTAATGATGGTACTTGTGTTCCGTAAACAGCCCATTTAAAATATTTATTGTATTTAAACAAACCATATTTCTTCTGCACCGGCAACATAAATAAACTCTAGCAATGTTCAGATACCAAGCTGGCTAATCACTGGAAATCAACCAATTCGTGTTTGAACGATCAAAGCATTAACATAGGATTTCCACTCTGCAGTTATATTGCAGTTGTTCTGAAGATAAACCTTGGAAAAATGTTCGAGGTCATGCTAGTAAGATGAACACATACAAAACACAGAACAGTGGTATCTACTTTCAGACATAATTTTGGAATTCAAAATCATAATACCCAAACCTCAAGTATAAACATCTAGCTCACTTAAGAGTGAATAGAGCAAGGCATTATCAGCCAACTAACTGAAATTGTTAAATCTACTATTTAAAGCAGAATAAGGAGCTCAGAACAGCTCAGGGTAACTCCTGAGCATGTGGTATATAATTAACCAGTGTTCTGAAATCATTAAATTAGGATAAAGGAGAAAAATACGTCATCCTTTGTATGGTCATTTTATCACCCATTTGTCACTGATTGCAGTATGTCACTACTTCAAGTAAAGTAACATTTATTGTTACAAATTCCCATTGTCCACACTCTATTAACACAAATGTAATAGAATTTAACTAAAACACCATTTAAAGCTATTGAAAGGATGACTCCCAGTTAAATAAGCAATAGTGTTCTTTCATGAATCTTTAGCATAAATATAAATCTGATTGGAATCTTAAAATAGTAGTGACTCATTGACAGCCATAGTAGTGTAATCAGAAGGTTTTCCACATTTTAGATAAATGCAATGTTGTTGTATAATGTAACTAGGGTTCCATTAAATGACAACATTTTCTTAGACTTAAAGGACAGCAAAGTAACAAATAGTACATTAATGGAAACTATATAAAGCTATTCTAAGAGTTCGCTTGTGCCAGTCAATTTATGTCTTCTAACTATCCATAGAAAAGAAATCAGGACCCAGTTCAAGAAGCTATTAAACGGATGTTTGAAACTGGAAAATATCCAGAGATATATTGAAAAGAGGGAGACTTGCTGGGGCTAATGTTCTCTTCCTATTCTAAACAAATATTATATTATTTTACTCATTTGTTTCATTATCATCCATACCTCTTAACATCTAAAAGAATCAAATGCATTTGGACCTCCGCAATGAACTTGAGACTGAGCAGAAGAAATTATATTTATAAATAGAGATAATGTTTGGCAAAAATATGATAATGTATTTATATGAATATTGGTTTGTCTAAATATCAGTAATCTTTTATGTGCTAGTCATCAGTAATCCAAAACATATAACAGAAACATAGTTCTGAAAGGAGCTATATCAAATGTAAAGATTATTATTATTGGGATAATGAACCCGATAAATATTCACAAGGAAAATGAGTTCTCATTTATATCCTGTTCTTTCAGTCCTTTTTAAAGTAAATCAGACTATTGGTTGGACTTTATTTGAAGCAGTATTAAAATGGAAATGGCCAGATTCTAATTCAGTAGGAGGAAGAGGGATACAGTGTTCGCGTGAGGCACAATGAAGATGAAAATAGTTTGCGCAGGCCGCAAGCCAAATGATAGAAGTGATTTTGACAGTACAGCTTAAAATGTATTTGGCCTCAAAAGCATTAACTAAGTTACAGTAACTATGCAACAAATGTAAACATGATCTGCCAGGTACAACATTTACTTACCATTCTGTTCCAGTTTCTCATGAGCTTGTTTAACAGAGGTATATTGGCGACTAATAGTTGCAAAACGTTTTTCAACTTCACTCAGTTGACTAAGGTGGTTACCCTTAGCTACAGTCTGCAGTTGGACCTTCTGTTCCTGCAAATCACAACAGGAAAAGCAGCTATCAGCCTGGGAGCACTTTCACCTTGGAGTCAGAAAATTGTGAGTTCAAGCACCTTGGTGTAGGCTGACATTCTTGTGCAGTGCTGAGGGTGCGCTGAGTTCCTAGAGGTGCCATCCTTCAGATGAAATGTTAATCTGAGGTTCTGTCTGAATGTTCAGGTGGACGTTAAAGATCTCATTGCACTATTCTAAAAAGAGAAGCGAGTCCTGGCCAAGTGTTCCCCCAAATAAAATTTGTCATTTAGTTCATTGCTGTTTGTGAGACACTGCTGTGTGCAAATTGGCTGCAGTGTGAGAGAAGGTAAGATGCGGTGAAGCAATAGTTAGGGTTGAAATTATACTGTGTTATGGATATCCCAAAGTAGTACAGTGATGTATTTTAATTGCATGGTTTAATTCTCAGCAACAGTGGAATAAACAGATTCACAACAGTTTTACCAGCAGTTATTATCTGGAATACATTAAACATATCTGACACTAAAGCAAATCCCTAAAGCAAATCTGCACTGTTTGAAATTCCAGTCACTGCCTTCATATGCTTTACAACTGATGGCAATCCTCGTTTCATTCTCTGCCTCCGACTCTTCAACCTCGCTATTGACTCACTATTAACAATGGAGTGGATACAAATACAGGCTCTTACCAGTTCACTTAATTTCTTTTCCAGGTTGTATTTGGATATCTATAGGGAAAGGGGGATTATACAGTATCAATCATTCCTTAGATTAAAAACAAGTCTGTAACAACAACCAATGATTACTTAAGTCTTCGCTCATAAAAATGTCTTCACAAACCATGTGCACAATATTACAATATCTGTATTACAATATCTGTGATTCTCATTTCAATTTTTTCTTTCTCTTAACAAAATTGCAAATAATGTGATGAACAAATTGGGTACAAAATACTTAATCTTCCATTTCTGTATGGCATAATCTTCCATTTCTACATGGTAAGTTTTTTCCAATGTGCTTAATGTATAATAGCATACACTGTACATAACGATGTACTTCAATGTACCTAAAGAAACAAACAACCTTTAGTATTGGGACTAAAGGTTATTTGAATTGATGTACCTTAAGATCGTAACTAACAAATTGTCATGTGAAACTATCTTAACTTTCTGCAAATACAATCAGAACTTCCAATTTACCCATAAACATTACAGTTTAAAAGGCTTTTTGAGGACTGATTCTCAACCAGATTATTTTCAAGGTGAATTTAGGCGAGAGATCTCAGCATTTAATATCCAAATCATTGTATATGGATAGAAAAGGTTGTAAAGTTTCTTGATGTTTTTAATAAAAGTCGATAGAAAAAGTGCAAGTTGTAACTATTTGATACAGATAATATTAACATTGGAAATAATCCAATATAAACTTTTACATTAAGTAGATTTACATCATGTGAAATTGTCAGCCATTTTTACTTACAGTTTTTAATAGAAGCAGATTAACTTTAAAGAATAAAATAACCAGTTATTCTAATTATTGTAGGTATATGAAAAACATTTCTACAAATACAGAATTTTCTAGGTAATTCGACAGCTGCTTCTCAAAAGAGCTGCATCTACAATTAAACCAGTGACTGGAACGTCTACAATAACTCTTAAGACTGGGTGCTGCTGACCTCATAAGTGCTGGCAAGTATCACACTGTGTTATCTATATGGGTCTCAATATCATTTAATGTAAAAAATTCCATTATCTCACTTAGAGAAGGCCAAGAGTTCTTTTTATTGCTCCACATTGTCTATGTGTCATGTGCAGTAGAGCATGTCAAACCCTATATATCACCTATGCTATGTCACAGATTGAACAAGGCAAACAAATCCTTACAGCCATAGCGCAAAAGGTCAGGCATGAGGAGGTATTTCTTTGGCTTTGAAAGCACACCCTACATTAACCAGATGATTAAAACAAGCACCAGGTGACACAAGTAAGCAACTATTCTGTTCATACAGGAATTGTAATTAGATCAGTATACGGCAAACAAAAATGGAATAATGCAGCTGTAAATATGAACCCATCCACGCTAAACCAAATCTGTTCACAACAGCAATAAATCATTGTTACTTCTGCAGCAAAGGATGGAAGTTATAGATTTATGACTTACAATAGACTCCTTTAATGACAATTGTACAATTTATCACATCGTTTTGTACCCAGATAACTTTCTAATATTTACATAATCATGGAATACTATTTATTAGTGCCAAAAACTTTCTGCTTAAATGCATATCAAAGATTTAAATTGATAAGTCAAAAAGTGTAGAAACAATCAATTAACTGCTAACAAATATCAGTGCATATCAAATTTCATTTTAATTCAAAAGAACGTCCTGATTTAGCTATTAATCCAGTTTGAAAAAATGACTGAATGAAGCGCTTTCTCTGTAGCAAATGTATTTGTCTTATTTGAATAAGCACTCTCATTAAATCTGAGATCTTACAACTGAAAATATTTATAGTTTAAAGATGGCTCTGTGATCTCTGTCTAATACTTTTGAAGAACAGTGTATTCAAAAGGGCTGATTTCCATGGTGTTCTTTGTCCTGCAGTTTTAGGACTGTCAATGGACACCAACAGTGATTGGTTGTATTTCTTAGTTGTCGGAACATTTTTTTTAATTTCAGCACTTCCCTGTCAGATAACTGCTTTACTTTTAAAAAGACAAATAGCAATAAATTGGTTACCTGCAGTACTTTTAATTCTTCTTTAAGTCCATTGATTTCTCGTTCTTTTGTCTCTGTACTAAGATGGAATTTCCTCTGTGAAGCACGGCATATTTAATTAGGTTGTGCATGGACATCTAGATACAGACCAGCACTCATCTAAGTCCACAATTAGGACCCCCGCATGATTTAAAATAATCTATTATAAATGCAAATTTGGATTCAAACTTATGTCTTCAAATATTCTCTGCAGTTTTTCTTTAAACATTGAAACTTTCTCTTCTAAAGTATGGTAGATCGTTTTAAGAATGCTAGATTTGAACAGAACTGAAGGCTTTTAATAAGCAGAGATGAGAAATTAATCGTGCCATTAACAACTGAGTCCCTCAGTGATTTTTCTTTATAACCCCTATGGGATCGATATTCTGTTAAAAAATTGCAGAAAATTAACAGCATTTATCAAATGCATTGGTCTGAATTGAAGGTTCTAAAAGTAGTAGAAACAAAACAAAATGTACATTTCCAAATTTCATAGTAATCTAGAATTCCTCAAACTACGGTGTTTATAACACACTCTTAACATTCAATACCTTCTCTTCTTCCACTGCAGCTATTTGGGTCTGAAACTATAAGAAAATGAATGTGAATAAGAACAAAATTCATTAAAATAAGCCCACATTCTAACCATGTTCTAGCTGAAAGTAATTTTACTGCTTTCATATCACACTTACTACTGAATAGCTGTAACTGTAATTGTTCAAATATAAGGATTTCATCAGTAAAAATCTATCACTTTTGGAGGGAAAAATACATGGCAGGTACTGTGTAATGATACTGATGTATGATCAATCTCACACTTTCATGGGATTTCATAAATCACATACACACAAACTTTTAGAAGAATTTCCAAACAACAAAATACTGTAAAAAAAATGAAAAGGTACAACAGGTTGATCAGTATGTTCAGAGGTAGTGAGTTGAAGCCTCACATCATCTGGGCTGACACTCCAGTGTAGGCCAAGAGTGCGCTACAATGTTGGATATGTCGTCCTTCAGATGAAATGTTGAACCAAAGTTTTATCTGTCTGTTCAGGTAGATGTTAAATATCCCAAGCCACTATTCAAAAAGAGAAGGGAGTTTCTTCCCCAGTCTTGGCCACTAATCCACCAGATGAAGTTGGTTAATCATTTTATGGCTTTTTGTGTGACATTGCTGTGCACAAACTGACTGCAACATTTGCCTACAAAACAGACAGTGAAGCGCTTTGAGATGTTCTCCTGACATGAAAGGTGGTATATCAAATGCAAGGATTATTATTATTATTATTATCATTATTATCTAAAAGAAAGAGATGTAGCTTCTAATGACGGATCACATCCAAAGAGTTATCTTTCTCCTTCAAGATGTTCATTGGCCTGCTGGTTTTTTAAAACAATTTCAGCCATTTGCATGTTTTAATTTTATCTCTACACAAAGTCCAGCTTTATTACCTTAAGCATGATACAAATGGCTGTTGAAATAAATATATATATGTATATGCAGTAAATATAATCCCATAGGCTGATTGAAATATCTGTGAATTTATCGGGATGGTGATGCTTTTGCATCCTTTTGTTATGTTTACTGCAGCAATCATTCATTATCTTCATATGGCTTTATATTTATGAGCAGTTAAGAACTACTCCATCGTACACAATCAATGGAGGGCTTGCTGATGTCCTCTAACAGCAGCGTCTAATGGCAAAAGGTTACAGTACAGCCTCATATATCAATAATACAAGTAATTAAACTCCTTTATTCTAGACCCTGTTTACTATGAATAGTATGAAAAGGTTAGGCTGTACAATTTTTGCGCTATTACAACTCTACTGTCAGCTATTTCAAACAGTTTATTACCAATCATTTCTGGCTTAAGAATTGTTTATTAAAAAAAACTTACCTGCTTCTTCAGAGCAGCCAATGCCTCTTCGTGCTGACTAGATAGCACACTACAATGACGCTGTAATGATTCCTGATTTCCAAATAAAGATCAGTGTATTAAACTGTATTACTGTAAAATACAGGCAAACCACTGAAAAAAAACAGCCTCAATTCAATTATTTAATCCTGATGTTTCAGGCTGAACTGAATAGCATAATAGCATAAACTTAATATTTAAACTTAATAGTCTATGCTTAACAATTTTCAAGTGTTGGACTTTCAGCAAGAAAATTTGTATTCAAATCCTAAATTAAAGATTTGTATTCAAAACTTAATTGAGGATTTCCCAGAGGGAAAAATCATTAATCATCTGGGGAAGGCAGGATATATGTCCAGAGAGACATCTGGTATTCCATTACCTAGAGCAATTCTAAACAATTTGACTCAATATTGTTAATATGGATGAACCTATGTAGAACTTTGCCTCAGGAGTTTGAGTGAGAGTTTGAGTAAGTTTTTAAGTGGCTTGTAAGTTGTTAAAAATAAAAACCTTTTGCCACTCCAGTTCTTGCTTTTCCACCACGAAATTTTTGATCTGCTCTTCATATCGGCTTTCTGTAGCCTAAAATAGAAAGCAGATTAAAAATTCTTAAATCTTTACAATCATTTACGAATTCTAAATTATCATTATAAAAGCAGTGATTTGCTCTGCTAGATAAAAAATGTTCTAGTAAAATAATTCAGCAAATTGAACACACTAGTACAATATCTCATGATAGGCAGTCTTTTGCTATTGCAATAGTAAAGAATCATAAAGTTTGAAATACTCCATTGCTCTAAAATATATATTCTTTACAGAAACTCACATAACAGAACAATAATTATTCCTCCTCCATTCCCCCAAGGTCCGAAATAAAGCAAATTACTCCATGCACCTTCCAATTTAGAGGTAGGAGTACAATTGCATACAGTTTTATTTATACAATATCATTAGAGATGCTGCTACCATAAAAGTGAAAATTATACACAAGATAAAGCACTTAAGTATTTGAAATAACAAAATAAAAAGGATTGTGCATCAGAAAAAGGTCATGTAACCTTGCTGAAGATTTATACTTGGAACTCAGCAACTTTTTTTTCATGTTTTTATAGAAACATGTGGCCAAATGGATAAAGCAATAAAATTCAGTCCACTAGTATATGTACGTGACATATTATCTACCAAATAAATGTGGCTAATTTCTGCGAAAATATGAAGTAGCCAAGGTTAATAGATAAACAAATTGGTTTTAACTTCAGTGAATAAGTGAACTATTCTAAGAGATGGTTTATTATTAAACAGTGTCAATCTTGACAGAGGAAAATGGATCTTCATTCATAAGAGTATGAAAATACCTTTAAATGTTAGCAGCACAGAAACATAATCTTATTGAAAGTTGATATGCAAAAAAAATCAACAAACATTTAACATTTTTCTTCATTTTTATTGGTTGCTTCAGGGATTATTTTCAATGTCTTGTGATACCGCATGACCATTTATGATCTACAAATAACTATGCAACATATTGGTTGCATCTGTAAAATAAAAAGAGCACTGACAAATTTTATGCAACTCTTGGAGCTTAAAGAGGCGAAATAGATGCAACCTGTGTGATTCCTTTAGATTCTACTTTCAATCCCTTTGAATTGGTAATGTGGGTGATATTCAGGCATTTGTTGGATTCAGTACAGTCTGGGATTCAGAACCGTTCATAACCAAACCATTGAACTGAAGCAACACTGCATACTCCATACAGTTTATCCTCTATAACATCAAAGAGATGCGGCTGGGCTGTCAGCCCTGCACAAGGTCAGGACTAAAGCAATAATTACATTAGCTGTTGTTGCTTAAGGCAGACATCCACAATTATGCCAGAATAACAGAACTGCTTCAACTGTATCTCGTTATTTTTATCAGTCAAAATGTTAATAAAGTGATGAAGCATTACAGGCTTCTCCTCCTGTGAAGCTCTCCAAGACAGTGTTATCTGTAGCTCTCTGCTGCTAGCAGTGTTTCAATTGCAAAGTCAAATCGGCACTTGCTGAACCTGGCTTGTTAGGCTTTCAGAATCCGTGATACATCTGTTAACACCCACTATAGCTTCTTCAAATCTTCCTGTGCTCCCAGCAGCAATCATAGAGTTGAAACCTGCTGTTGGCTTCAACCTTGCTACTTATTATAGAAAATCCCCGTTATATCCATCTTAAAAGTCAATGGTTAAATCCACCTTGTGCCTTTTTGCTTCAGCGCTAAATGTTACTCTTTCACAAGGAACAAGCATGAATATTAGCAATACAATGCACAAAAAATGTGAATCAAAATTCAGTGTCAGCAGCTACACAGAAATAATTTGATCCGCTTCACCACTGAGCTATTAATGACTATCAATAATGATCCCAATAAGCATTCTTGGACAACCCACAACCATTGGTAGATATGGTATTCAATGGTTTGTTTACTATGCTGTTTGAACTCACTAAACATCAAGTTCATTTTTGTTTGCTGCTTTCTGATCAGTGGCCTTTTACTGGAATGATTTCTGTTTCCTGACCCTGAAAAGATTTAGGGACAGAATGCAGCTGGCTTCCATCCAAAAAGCAAAAAAACTGCTGCGAGGTGCTTTTGCCATCTTCGACAAACCTTAATCTACCTCCTACGAAATAGCAGCCTTCCCTTTCGCATGGTTCTATGCCAAATAGTTTTCATACTTCAGAGCCTTCTGTTTTGATACGCTGACTGGGATATCACAGAATGCCCCAATGAAAAAAGGTGAAACTAAGGGTAAAGTTAAGATGATTTCTTGGCAACACAACAACAGTAGCAAAAATTTTATCTTTTTTAAAAAAAAATCAAATTGATAACAGCATCCTTTAAGATGCTTTTCCTGTGTTTTAAGAAGTGGAAGACTTCCCAGTGGTTGAAGCATTCATACTCACAAATTCCTATAAAACTGGTTTAATTTACATTGGCCTTGATCTAGTTCAAGATATTATCACTGATCTTTGACTCAAAATGAACTATTTCTACTCTGTACTCTGTAAGGTCAACAGTAAAATGTTCTTGCATTGAGAACTATAAAAGTTCCACAGAGCAGTCTCACTATATTGTACAATACACAAACGTGAAGCCAATTGAGAGTAAAGGTCAGTACTTTAGTAAGTTTTTGAAAGTTATTGTTCAAAGAACCTTTTAAGTTCTTTACAGAGTAAACATGAAATTATTTGCAGCAGTGCAGTGGTCATTTGTGAAAATGGTCACTGTTGCAGGTTGGCTATGTTTTTTATACTAGCAACTGGTGAATATTTCCACCATCTTGTTGATTTTACAAGTCTTAAAATTGATTTCTCATTCAAAACAACTTATTCACAAGAGGTGGCCTTTGGACTGAAAAGGATGAATGAACAAGGCTTAACTAGTTTCAGCAGTTGAACTCTGATCCAAGATCCACTTCCTGTGCTAGTGAGAGAGAGGAACTGCTATCTGAGCTCTGAGAAATAACATGGAAAAAGCCTGGGTAAAGTGATGAACAACAATAAATAAGTTTGGGGTAAGTGTACCTACTAGTCTGTAGCCAAAGTGAAGCATAAATGTAATCAAATTATAATCAGTAAACTAGCCACAAACGATAGAAAACGTTAAAGGTCTTTGTACCGGACCAAATCAGAAAGGAAGAGCAAGGACAAGGAACTCTAAATTATCAATAATCCGGGGGGGAAAACTTTACAAATTGCTAATCTAGTATATTGTAGGAGGATTATGTGATCTTATATACATTATTGTTTGTTGGAAATCAATTCAGAAAACACTAAAATCTGCTGCACTTACACGACGTATTCGAAGCTCTTCCACTACCTCAAACAGACAGGTTTTAAACTCCAGCTGTTGAACAGTTGTAAGTCCATCGGCAGCCTGGTTCGGAAGGTCATAATTGATACATACTCTTGTCTCTGAGAGGTCATCACCTATCTTTTTGCCGTCCATCCACCTAAAAAGAAGCTTAGCGGCAGTAGTTTTCACAACAATTCAAAGTGTTTTGTCATTTTCTTTTGCAATTATCCATTTTAAATCCAAACCACTCTTCAGTAATGAAGAATTCCCATCAACCCAGAGGAATTTAAGGAATCTCATTGAGGCTGAATTAATTTGGGTCAATCTTCTGGTTATAGGAAGAAGTCCCCATTTATGTAGGCCCTGCATAAGACCAGTTACCAATAGTAAAATCTGATTTTATTAGTAATAAAGATTATCTATCAATCAAATTTTAAAAGCATTAAACCGTATGCAATAATTCCGGTGCTGCCTACGGTATGCAGAAAATGCGGCACTGTTCAAGAAGAAGCAGGCTCAAGTACTAAATGGTATCATAATAAACAGTCAACAAGGCTATTAGTCTATGAAATGGGCACATAATCTATAGCACATTAGGAAATACCTGTAATAGGGCCCTAAGGAAAAGAAGAGACTTACTACACATAGGCAGAAATCTCTCATACTGGATGAACCTACCCATGCACTAAAATGTAGGTTCAGAGGAAATAGTGTCACATGCACTGAAATACAAAATCCTGTAAAGTATTTTGAAATGTCATAACAACATAAGATACTATATCAAATGCAAGAATTATTATTTATCTGAATCAAATCAAAGTAAAAATGTACATACATTAATATGGCATCAATCTACATCACCTCTTCTAGTTAGACTTGTTGGCTGTTCTCTTGTAATTCATCATGCATCGCTTATGGAAAAAATCTATAATGCTATCAGTAGAATCCTATAAAGAGACGGGAGAGGGAGGAAAAAAAAACAACTTGCCATTGTATAGCACCTTTTATATACAATGACTACATCAATTGGAAAAGGTTATTCCTTAATGACGAGTCCCAGTAACAATGCTTACAGTAAATATTAAATATTGCTAAATTATATTGAACCTAAATTACTTTTGAAGAAGTTTTTAGTTTACATTAGCGTTGAGTATTTCCACAAGAGGAATAACACAACTTTAAAAACTGTCATCAGCTTTATAATTAAAGAAATACTGTCTAATGCTCATATTTTCATGAGCTATTTCTCCACAGCTCTGAATGCCTAACAAAAGCCTAATCTTGAACCAATATTTATTTAAAAATTACATCTTAAATACCCTGAGGTGGGATGCAAGGTGGCCTACAAGTCTGATGGGGTCAAGGTAATAACACAGAATGGACAAATTACACTGTCATTCTAGTTAAATTATTTAAGTTATTTAATTTGACCTGTAGATACTCTCTTGTCTTCTCATCATAGATGTTGCCATGCCTGACTTTTAAGTGGGAGGTCTTCACTGGAGATGATCCTTTAATGGAAGCGAACCTTTCTCCATTTAACCCATAATGTTATCAATCATGTACAGCGATAAATGAGCCTGTAAGAATTTGCCAGTATCACAAATGACACTGTGACCTGAGGGCAACATCTTTATTTGCTTCTCCACTGGCTCAGTTCAGTGGATATTAACCAATTTTATAATCCATGAAAGGAAAAATTAAAAGGACATCATCCATAAAGCAGAATTATTTCTAGCAGCAACAAAGTGATTTCTGTATTATCTTTATGAATTATATGGCATTATAGTAGCAATGCAATGAAAGCAGAGATGATAATAATCAAGTGCCTTGGGCAAACACTAATACGCATTTAATCACATTGCAAAAAGCCATTTGTCACTGAGGTTGAATGCAAGGTAAAAGGCATGCAGGCATGTGTTATACTCCAAATTCTGCAGTATCTATTGTGACATTTACCTTCCCTTCACACTACAATTGTCATAATTTAAGACGAAAAATTATTACATTTATGAACTATTATTAATAAAACTTTTATATTTATAGACTGTTTACTATAAAATATTCTATTTTATGAGTTGACTTCACAACCTTTCTGGATATTTTTAAACTGATTATTTAAAAAATTGATATGGATAGAGCATCCGTTGCAATGATTTACAAACTTTTATTCATGTACAAGCATGTAACAAACAAATTGAGGTACGAGGGGAATACAGTGATCTTTTAATTGAGTGAAACTCCAGTAATACTCCAGTAATAATTAAATGTTCTTTTACAGAGGATCTATTACAGATTCTTCAAATCTATCCAGGAATGAATCAGGTGATAAAGGTTTCTTAGTAATAACAATATCAGTTAGTATTTCTATTGGTGGAACAAAATATCTTATCTACCATTTTGATCCTTCGATTAATTTAGATTTCTTTTGTTCAATATTCTGAATTGACTCGGAAACTTCTGATTAATTTGTTAACGTACAAAATAATACAGCCCATTCAATGTTGGAAACCATGGAATAGCAACAGCGAAACACGTGTTCCGATCACTGAGAATTAATGGAGAGGTGCCATGTGGGAGTCTCTTCTCCTTCGAGTGAAGAAGGCCTTTCAAGCCATTTGATCTCATTCTTACCATTTCCTATTACAGCAACTAACTGTTTGTTAAATTAGTCCGAGGTCCTGGCCTCAACCACCCTCCCTGCTAAGCCGATTAGTTAATGCTTTTTGGTAGCTATCTTGAAATTGCCCTACACACCCTTATGACCCTCTACCCTTTCCGCTGCCCTGATGCAACAGAAAGCATTGCTCCAGGTTCACCCTCTCAATTCTATTTAGCGGACAAAAAAGAGATACACGTTTCTATGTCAACATGCACCAACTGAATGGCACTTTCAGCGACTTGCGAGTAACCTGCCTGCTCATTCCCTCCCTCAATTCAAGATTTTTTTGTGACTTGGGAGAGCCCCAATTAGGTAAAATATAACTAAAACCCTTTGCATTTGATTTAACTACTGCGAGAAATTAATTTTGTTATTTTAAAAATGTACCAAATCAAAATCTACTTTTGTTACGATAAGTTATGCTGTGGAATGTTGCACATGCAATCTTGTTGGCAGATGTGTGACAAGGTCAAACTGGTGACATGCAAGATTCCCAAAAGTAAGAATGATATCAAATTCCCAGTTGTGCCATGCTAAAATAACCGGTTCTCAACAAGTCAGGCGGTAATGCAGCATCATATAATGATATTATAATACATAATAAGTTCAGCCCTGTGCTGCAGAAGGATGTAGTGTATTTGTGGGCTCTGTTATGGCTATGGTGTTTTTATCAAAGTAGGTTTATGGCCACAGGGTTTGTAGCGTTTCAGATCAATAAGCAATTAGCTTTTCTTGGTTTTTCGTATACGGCAATAATCAGTTATTATTTCTAAATAATCTTCTCTTTAGTCCTGCAAAATGATACATAAACATTTCAGGAAAGTATATTTTGTATTTGATACCATTTACTTAATACTCCAAAAGAACTGAACCTTTAGGAACCTTTCTTTATAAAGGCCATTTAAACCCCAAAATTCCACCTACTCTTGGAACATGCTAACAGTAAGCCTTCAGGATCTGTGAAAGTGGCTACTTGACAACAAGGCTAAGAAAATAACGTAAAGAGGAAAGGAAGAACCTACATTTAAAGGTCATGTAAGACATGCTTTATTGCTAACAATGTGGTTGCATGCCTGTAGGACAAAGCGTTAAAACGTTAGTCCAGATACACATAACCTTTAGACAACAATGCCCCAAGCAACACATCAGCCGCACTTCACATTATAGAGAAAGTACTATCGTTTTCCCCCAAAATAAATTCAATGGATAGCTACTTGAATAACGCAGCAAAATAATTCTTGTGAAAATAGTCTTGAGAGATAACGGTTTGGAATCTTATAATAAAATGTGTAAGTGAAGTCCTACCATACCATTAAAATCGAATATAAAAAAAATTGGGAGTAAAGGTCTAACACCCTTATAATAGCAAAAAATGTTATAACTGAGAAGCTTTGGACCTTAGCTGGTCCCCAGAGGAAATGCTAAATGTTGGTCAAATCTTCCCCACTGTCAACAAAAGGAAAACCTAGAGGGAGAAGATGAATTAGGCAGCTCTTATACACCTCCTGAAAACCAGATACAAAGATCTGTGAGAAGGTAATTAACAGTTGTAGGTTTACAGCAATATAAAATAAGTTGGATAACTATTTTGATAATACCCACAATACTGCAAATAAATACAACAATGCTATGCGCACTGAATAACAGCTTTGAGAATGGTTCTATATCAGATGCAAGGATTATCGTTATTTGTCATTAGTTCACAATAATCAAGCCTTCAATGTATTTAATCAATTAAAAACAAAGTGTGTTATCCGTTTTCTGGGTTTCTGTTGTAGCACTTCACTGAGAAACGTGTAAGTCCACATTAGCTCCCATCATAAATTTTCAAATTCAAGTCTTGCAATACTGTTGCAGGGATAGAAACAACTGCTGAGAAAGAAGTGATGTCAACAAGGCTGTCAACAAGGCTCGTGACTATGCTTAGGGCAGCTAAAGAATGTAACAACAGGCTGTTGTATTGTAATGCACTGGATTCTTCAGCGAAGATAAAATAGTCTCAGTGAAGCACAAGTGGAAACCAGCAGTCAAGCAAACTGGCAGCATCCTTAGAAAGCCTATTCATAGCTTAGTTATTATCATTTATTACAAAAGATTTTAAAGGTTTTAATGATCGCAAATTCTAAACATTTAACATACGGCACCAAGCTTTTATACTGAATTATACTGTTGCAGTACCATACATCAGTTACTTAACCGTGTTGTGAAAAGTTGTTATACATTCCTTTGTCTCTCTCCACTGCCACTGAGTGGCATGAACAGCTACAACTACTGTATATTGCATTTAATTCTAATGCTTATTATAGCACCACCAAGTAGCAATAGTCAGGTACTACAACATACCATATGACCTGTACCATATGACTTACTTTCTTGTATAAAGTATTGTATTTGGTGGTAAAGAATCACCCAGAAATATCTGTTTACACAATAGTTACGCTAAGTGTTATAGAGTTTACTCTTCTCCCTCCTGGCCTCACCATTTCACAATGTGAAATAGAAAATCGGTATTCTGAGTTATTCATTGATAAGAGTAAAGCGTAAGAGCTGTACAATTGATAGTGGTTGATGGTCCCTGGAATAGGACGGTACAAGGTCCCAGGGTGGGGGGTAGACTCCTTGAGGGTTAGGGTGAAGCGGTGGGTCCCGCGTATGGGTGGGGAGAGAATACAGGGGGTTCCGCAGTCTCTCCGCCTCAACCCCTCCCTTGCCACCTTCAAGAACCATCTCAAGACCCTCTCTCAAGACCCTCCTCTTCGACCGTGCTTTCGATCTCCCTGCTTCCCCTTCACCCTCCACGACCCCCAGCTCGGGTCCGAAACTCTGTCTGTCCATCGCCCTGGGACGTCCTCCCGACGTGAAAGGCGCTATACAAAATGTCATTTTGTTGTTGTTGTTTGTTCCCGGGGGATGGCAGCATTACTGGGGTGGGGGTTTCGGAACCCAGAGGTTGAGGCAGGGTCTTCAAGTTGGCGGTGGGGTCCTGAGGGTTGAAATCACTAGCGGGTGAGGATGGGGTCCTGGTCTTTGTTGGGGGGTGGGGGCAGGGTTTCCAAGGTCCAGGGTATCCAAGGAGTCAGACCTTCCTCTTTGACCGTGCCTTCGGTCATCTCCCCACCCCCCACGCCCTCCACCCCTCCCGACTCCAAACCCCAGCTCAGGTGCAGATGTTTCTGGATGAATCCTCACCACCAAACGACGGTACTTTACACAAGAAAACAAGCCATGGGGTACTACAGGTCATCCTCCTGACATCCCAAGGCCGTGGACGCCTCTCACGCGAAGCGGGGCCGTGCAAATACAAACACAAGTTCCCGAAAGGAAACGACGACTTGGGGAGTTTGCGCTGCGACCGCCGGAGAGGCTGAAAATTATTCGTATTGTATGTTATTAATACAGATTCGGGTTCCCTTCAATCCACGGCCGTCCGCGTGTGTGCGGGTGTGTGCGTGCGTGCATGTGTGTGCATGCGTGTGCGTGCGTGCATGTGTGTGCATGCGTGTGCGTGCGTGCATGTGTGTGCATGCGTGTGCGTGCGTGTGTGTGTGCGTGAGTGTGTGTGTGCATGTGCGTGCGTGCGTGTGTGCATGTGTGTGCGTGCGTGTGTGTGCATGTGTGTGCGTGCGTGTGCGTGTGTGTGTGCGTGTGCGTGCGTGTGCGTGGACGCTGAAAATACACAGTCGCTACACTTCACGGAGCGTCCGGCGAAGCGCTTGGAGACGTCTCGGGGGGGGAGAAAAAAAACGCGATCAGGCGCTGTCTCAAATGCAAGGGGTATATTCTTATTAATCATTATTATTAATAATAATGAATAATAATAATAAAGACGTCAATGCAATTTGTTGTCGTCGTCGTCGTCGAGTCAGGTTGTCCGGGTTACGGGCTGTGGAGCAAAGATGGCCGCCTCACCTCACCTCACCCGTGGCGTCGACTAACGGCTCCCTCTCTGCCCTCCTCCTCCTCCTCGTGCCTCGGCTCCCGCGCGCCTTCCGCCCGCCCTCAGCCGCGGGCCGGTCCTCCGCGATCCCGGCATGCCCGGCGGCCGGCGCCGCGGCCCGAACAGGGCGCGGGGGGGTGGGGCTAGCGGCGCGGGGGGGCGGAGCTAGCGGCGCGGGGGGTGGGGCTAGCGGCGCGGGGGGTGGGGCTAGCGGTGCGGAGGGCGGGGCTAGCGGCGCGGGGGGTGGGGCTAGCGGTGCGGAGGGCGGGGCTAACGGCGCGGGGGGCGGGGCTAGCGGCGCGGAGGATGCCGGGACCAGGAAACCGCCCATCCCAACCGTTCGAGACTCGAAGCCTCGACCAGGGAACGGCACGGTGGGGGGGGGGTGGGGGCGAGGAGAGAGAGAGGCAGAGAGAGGGCCTTGCCGGTAGGGGGAGCTGGAGCTGGAGCCTTGTGTGGTGTGGTGTGGTGTTACGCTCGGGACATCCGAGGCCGAGGAGGCGCCGCTCCGCCAGGGCCGCGGCGGGAGCGGGAGGCAGTCGGTGAGAGGCGTCCGTTACAATGTCCCGATCCAGTCTTAAAAGGAATTATGATGTGAGGCTTTTTTTTTAGATGGTGATGGTGGTGGTGGTGGTGGTGGTGGTGATGATGATGGTGGTGGTGGTGGTGGTGGTGGTGGTGGTGGTGGTGGTGGTGGTGGTGGTGGTGTGGTGGTGGTGATGGTGGTGGTGGTGGTGATGGTGGTGGTGGTGGTGATGATGATGATGATGGTGGTGGTGGTGGTGGTGGTGGTGATGATGATGGTGGTGGTGGTGGTGATGATGATGATGATGATGGTGGTGGTGGTGGTGGTGATGATGGTGGTGGTGGTGATTGTGGTGGTGATGATGGTGATGATGATGATGATGATGATGATGGTGGTGGTGGTGGTGGTGGTGGTGGTGGTGGTGATGATGATGATGGTGGTGGTGGTGATGATGATGATGGTGGTGGTGGTGGTGGTGGTGGTGGTGGTGGTGGTGGTGGTGATGGTGGTGATGGTGGTGGAGGTGGTGGTGTATATGGAGTATATTGCTTCACGCAATATACCCGTAAAGTGTAGTGACTGGTTATTTCGCGGGAGAAACGCAGGCGGCCGATTGCGCCCCCAGCGGTGAGTGAGTGTCCCGCGAGCATTTCGAGGATTGAAGTGACCAAATTATTATTGTATTATTTGTTTGGCTTTGATGGGATTATTACCCACTCCCCCCCCACCCCCCACCCTCCTAACCCCCCCCCACCCCCTCTCAACCCGCCCCCCCCCCCCCCCCCCGCCGTCCAATCGACTAACAACCGCTGAGAGAACAACAACGACGACGACAGCAACTTGGATTTATATAGCGCCCTCCACGCCGGACGGACGAACGAAAGCCCAGGGAAAGAAAGCGGCGATAATAATAATAATAATAATAATAATAATAATCCTGGGATTTGATTTAGCGGCTCAGCCAACAGTGGGAATTTCAGCCCAAGTGCATCGTCCGCTTTGCAGCTTTATTTTTATTGCCCTGCGCGGTGGTTTACGAAGGATGCCGGGTCGCTGACGTAAACCGATCAGTGCAAATAAAACGCCACATTCCTCAGAATCATTTATTCTGTCTACTTTTTAAGTTTATTTTATTTACTGTTTCTATTGATTCGTATTTAGAAAGCAAAAACTAAAAGAGTGAGCAAAGCACACGCACTCCGGAATTCCGAAACACTGCCTTCCAATCGTTTTAACGCGATTGTTCGGATCACTCTCATTTAAATGCTGAGATCGCAGTCTACAATGCTGCATTCTTACGACGCCCGTCGTCGCCTCCGTGAAACATGCTGCGCAGTCTGGGCGCTCCTTCGCTATTTTAAGACCGAACGTGCCCACGGCAAGTGGTTAGAAATTACTTTTGAATCGTTTCCTTTACCGAAAACGATTGATGCGAACATTGTCGAATCTCCCTGTTGACTGTCGATGATGATATTGTCACCCAACTCGCGGCCAGTTACCATGGACAAAGGTTAGCTAATGGGTGTCCCTGACCAGTGTCAGCCAGGAGATGATGTCTATCAAGCGCTCTGGGACGCTTCCCTGCGTGAGGGGCGCTACATAAATGCTAGCTGTTGTTATATCTGGGGCGTGAGTTTGAAATGTAGAGTCTTTTAGAGTCCAAATGAAAATAGCCTTTAAATAAATAAAAAGAATACAAAAAAAATTAAGCTTGGAAGTAACAAAAGCTTGTATTTTTTAACAGAAATACATTGCACCGAGATGTATATTGTTTTCTGTTTGTTGTTCATTTTAATTGAACCATATTCACTTACTTCAGTGCTGGCTGCGACTGATTTAAACTTGTGTTATTTCTTATTGTTCTGGGAGAAAAAATGATTGAATACCACACAATTTAAGCTCAAGAGCTGTCCGTGCCATTTACTGTATATTTGACCAACAAAATACACAACCACACTCTACAGTAAGCCCTGTGAAGCACTTTGAGACATCCTCCTTTCAGATGTAAAAGGTGCTGTATCAAATACAAGGATTATTATTAATATTTGCAAGGAATTAGGGAAAATCAAGTTATCTTTTTCCTTTAAAATCTGTGTTTTATATGGGTCCCATAGAAATACGACCAACGTGTATTTGGCTCAGTTTATTCAGGGGATTTTTGTCTCTCGGCTATTAACATTCTCTCTCTATTAATATGTATATAGTCTTGTTTAGTCACCTGATATTAGACAGAAGGTTTTGGATATGCCCTACTACGAATGAGATATAATTGCTTTCCTTTATACGTTCAGCATAGGAAGAAGTTAGCAATTGCTCGCCATCAGTCACAGACGTCAGGACGCAAAGATTTCTTGGATTTCCAAAGAGCCGATAAGCAGCTGCAGTTTATTTCTGCAGATTTATGAACAACGGTGCTGTGACGGAAATTGACAGGTGTGTTAACCTTTTTGTGGGTATTTCCCCTGTCGTGAAAAGACAATTCGATTTATTTTCCAAAACTGCTTAATGGGGCAATGGTTTTGGCGGCCGACACAAGTCAAATGTCTCTCTGAGTTACACAAGGCATTTACGGCAGCAACATCAGTCGGGTGAAATAGAAATTGTTTGATTTTAATTGTACAAAATAATTTGAAAATCACTCCGCTCCACCGGGCACACACACACATCTCTGTGAATCTACCACAATCTGTGTCTGCTCCATTGTAGTCCATTGCCAACTGCCAGTCTTTGTTTTATGTCTCCTTGCGGTAAATGTCATTTAATTTCTTGCATGGGCAGTGGAGAGAACAGAAACATTATGATTGTCTTGCCACTTGAAGGAAACGTGTTTCACTCCCCTCGTACCACGTACAACATACACCGTACACGCCTTGCTTGGTTTTATTTACTTGCAACGTAAACTCTCACTGTAGAAATTTCTGGTAGCCAAGTGTCATATTATTATTTGGCCGACTTGCAATGATTGCATAAATTGTCGCTATTCCCCTCCAGTGGGGCTGTCGTGGCCAGTGTCCCCAAAACAAAAGGTTCAAGTATTCCAAACAAATGTGTCCCAAGCCATCCACCAATTCCACAGTGTACATACCTGACATCGGCCACTCCGCTATAAGTGGGATTGACCTTGGTGGGACCTTTCAGTGATGTGAAATGTTGAAGCTTTGGAGTGCAATGCACTGCATTCCCGAAAAGGTCTGTTCAAAGTTCTGGAACACTCATATCCTTGATGTAATGTGCAGTGCTTGCAGCTTCGTATGACAGGAGTTTTGAGTCGAAAGCCTCTCAGCCGCTACCTCCACACTCCCACTGTTACTTCCAAAGGTCCCTTGCTTCTAGCAAATAATCAGGAAATAACATTATTGGATACGATACATAGGTAGTTCGGGACATATGTGCATGCGACCGCTAGGAAGATGGAGGGCCAGCTAGACGGACCTTGGGCTTTTTTTCATCAAGCATTTCTTATGTCCTTGTGCTTCTGGGGGTGGTGGGGGGGCTTAAAAGGTCTGGAAATGACTCTCCTAGTGTCAAGCAGAATGATTTACTTTTTTACTTCTGAATTTCTTTTAAATGCAGACGGAACAATAAATGAAACCCAAGGAAATAACAGACAGTTCAGGCAGCGTTTCTTTGAAGATCCCAGAGGAGCAGATTATCTCAGGGGAGGAAAGCGCCATCTGTACAGAAGAGAAATGGGGTCATTGGCTGGGCTTCTGGAGTAGCTGGTGGTTGTGCTGGTGGGCTGGGTTCCTGATATCTTCTGTTCCTGTTACATTAATTTGCAGCCTTTTGAGTCAAAAGATCTTCTGTCTATTCGCAACTGGACTCAGAAAACTCTTCTGCTGCCACATAACCTTCAGTTATTGCTTTTCGACCTATAAACATTTAATAAGTCACAGAGATCAAGAGGAAAAGTGCACTGAAGAAGACCTTTCAATAGTTGTCTCACAGTCCAGGAACCTGACGCCAGGCATTGTGCTAGGTGTAATCATTGGCATTTTCCAGACCGTAAACTGTATCCTGCAACACGGTGTAATTGTCAGAGCTGTGTTTGGAATAATATTTGGGTTTATTCTGATGGTCATTAATGCTCGAATCTGTAGAAATCTGGTCTAAGAGACACTTTGTATTCATGTCTGCCTGTTTTGCAGCTCCAGATGCAGATAGAATGGGATATTATTTATATTTAATGAAGGTTTAAAATTAAGGGGAGTTTAATGAATTACTCCCAGCTGAAAAGCAATGACTCATGACACCCTCAAAGATATGTTAACACATATTTAATCACAGCAAACATTGTTGAGCTGTTGTGCTTTCTCTAGCTGCTGTTGGCAGATAAGCCTCTTGAGTCATGCCTTGAAGGAGGCAAGGGAGGGAGCAAGGCGAAGGGACAGGGATGGAGTTCCAAAAGGTTAGGGTAGAGAGGCTGAAAGCCTTTTCTGCTTTTTAAAAAAAAGTGTGAAACAAGTTACCCCATTGGCATCTTCCAGTGTTAGCTGCCGTACAGTTGAGTTCTATTACATATAAAACCCAGTTGATTACCATTATGGGCAAGAGACAATTATGTTAACATCCGACAAATTCTGAGTGGATGCACGTTTTCCAGTTTAAGATCGATTTTTTTTCTCACCCTTCTCTGAAGCTGAAGCACCCTTGAGATATTCGTCCTTCACAATGTTAATCTTCGACTGGCAATTAATGAGTTGGCGCAGGACTGCTTCAACAAGGGGCATTGCCATGGCAACTGTTAGATGTACCGTATTACTCAGCCACACGGAAAGGGACACAGCGAAGCTCATTAAGACCAGTATTAGCGTGAATAATATCGCAGCCGAAACATAGGTGCCTTGGCAATTCTAGGAATGTGTGAAGCTGTTTCAGGTCACGTACACGGACAGGTTCAACCCAAACTCACCCTAAACACAACTAAAAAGACACATCAGTTATGTCCTTGACAGCATTATAGTTGATCTAATACAATTAAATATATTTGAAGATACAGGTGCAATTTCAATTCTTTCTTGCAGACTTATAGCTGATGCTGCTAATTGGCAGGGAGATACAATTCAATTAGTCTCAGTGTTTCAGTCAGTGTGAAAGCAGAATATATTCTTTGGCTGAGATAATTTTTTATATATTTAGAGAGAGAGATTGAGAAACCTCATGGAACATGACAAGAAGTACAGTATTACAGAACCAGCCCAGTAAAAATGAATATAAAATTGATTCATATCAAGTTTAGTTTGGGAAAAAATACTAAATTAAACTTTATATTATATGTTTGGTGACATAAGTAAGTGTTTCAGTCCTATTTTATGGGGGAAAAGCCACAGCTTTTAGTACAAACACATTGTCCTATACTATGACAAATATCAGATGAGCTCCCACATGTTTTTCCAGCCTGGATTAGTTTCTAGCACCATCCTAAGAGCTGTTGTACATGTTCTCTACACTTCTCCCAAAATAGCAATGTATTCCAATGCCACCTAGTGGAAACATCTAAAGCAATCAGGATTGCCCACCACATAGCAAGAAATGTCTTGGTGATCTAGATTTACATCCAAAATAGACTGCTGATAAAACACTTATCAATTCCACACTATCTTTATTACACAATGATACATCTGTGTCTATATATAATTGTATGTACTGAGCAGAGGTATCAAAGAGTTTATCAGCACCTCCCACCCCAGATATCTAGAGGAACCGTTAATTATTTTAGGCATTAAACAAGGAATTAGATTATTTGTTTATAGGCAATAAAGACACAAAAATAATCAGGTCAGGTTAGTCCTTACCTATTAAAAAGTGAACTAAACAACGACGTGAACAATAAAAAGAAGTAATGGGGTACAAAAGAAAATTGGAAATTGTGGTTAATAATAATGTGCAACAAGTAACATTTGCCACAGGCCAAATGACCTCCTTCTGTGCTGAAATGTTTCTATATTTCTATGTTTATATCCCAAGTGTTCAAATAAAACAGAAAATTACCTCCTACCCACGAGATTTTCTCTGGACAGACAGAATTGGTGAATTACATTTTATGATGATCTCCTCCCCCGTTCTCCAGGGAAGGCAAGTTTACCATAAGGACATAAGAATTTGCAAGGCGAAAGATGACTCAAGGTCCGTCTCGTTCACCTTCTACCATCCTTGAGTAAAATATTGTCATCTGTACTGAAAAACTTTTCCTCAAAGAGATGGGGAGGCAGAGGTCTTAGTCAATGATAAAGTGCCTCTTTCTTTGAAGTTAACCTTAGCTTAAGAAGGAGAAAACCGAGAGGTGAAGAGACAGTGGAATGTGCTATCCTTGTCAGGGTTACAGAAAGGACAATGTGATCTCTCTTTACAAGATGAAATTCCAACCATGTCCTTTTACAACAACAACTTGCATTTAAAGAGCACCTTTCACTGTTAAGCATCTCAGAGTCAGAGGTGGGGAGAGAGGAGTTGACTGTAAGTGCGGATGTCAGTAACAATAACAATCCTGGCATAATACCTGCGAGGACTCAAGAACAACATTATTGCTGTCAATTATTACCGTTCTGGGTAGCAACAATGCCACACATGATCACAGCGTTTTAAACAGCTCAGTCAGCTATTCTGGCCAGAGCTGGAAAATTCCACTCATCCACTCGCCTGGGGCGTCTGAGCTCCAGTGACCCGATAAGGTAAACTGATCCAATGGCCTGCAATAACACTAATGTATTTATCGCTTCATCTCCAGTCCTTTATTGCTTCTTTCCGTGATTCGTGCTTTGCTGTGTGCCCAATGCCACATTTGTATGGCAGAACCGCTCGCACCAGAAGCAAAATAAAAATCCCGTTTGAACTAACGGCGCAGCAGATTCCTGTACAGGAGACGGGCGGGAATGGAGCGGCTACAGCTTTCAGCTCATTCTCCCGTCTCTGGGTGTGGGGGGGGGGAACATCTACGAATCAGGCCAGCGACACACAAACAAAATCCTCACTGCCTGTTTGTTTGAGCAATGTAAGGTGGGCTCAGCTATGCTATCAGACCCCACAGTCAGACAGAAGTGGGTTGTCAGTCAAAGCACTTCAGCAACTGGCAAACGTCTGTCTTGCACCGGGCACTGCTCACCACGAGAGGGCATCAAAGCCTCAATGCCACCAGCAAAACTACTGCTGAACAGACTTGTAGGTCTCTTCCTCTGTGGCCTCCGTCGCAGCCCCTTTTTTTTTGTGCGCGTCTGTCTCCCCGTCTGCTCCGCGAGGATATGTTGTTGGTTTCGGTTCCTTCCGGTTAAAATTCAAGACTGTAGATTGGGATAAAACTTCGTAACTTGCGCGACTCGTCCGGAGGACGTGAGCGGAGATGACCCTCGATAGAGCAGTTCCGCGTTGCGCCCTCAAAAAATACACAGTCCATTCACGATGCGGTACGTTCTTTGAGATGCCGTGACGGCGTGACGGGGTGCTGTATCAAATGCAAAGATCATCATTGTTGTCTTATTTGCATCCATTTTTTTGCTTTCGCTTCATAAATCCAGGTCAACCTTACTGAATGATATGCTAATTTTACCATCATTATCGGAGTCTTTTATAGCAAAATTAATCAACGTAGTATTGACTACTTCGGAGTGTATCCTGTGGAGCGCTTTGAGGCATCTCGCGGCATCAAATGCAAGGATTATTATTTTATTACAGCTTTTTTTATCGTGAGCCTATTGCTGAATAATAATAATATAATAATTATAAGAATATTATAGAGAATAATAATTCTCTATGAGAAGATTCCTCTCCGCAGAATTGTTTGAGGCTTTTGCAAAACTCTGGCCAACCCCGTGCCTTGTGCAGGACTCTCCGGAATTAGATAAACCGGGTGTGTGTCCCCGCGGGGGAGAGAGAGGGAGAGTATGCGTTCGGTTCCAGACGCTGGGAAAGCGCCGTGCCTCAGTCAGTTGGTTAGTTTGGTGGCAATACACTCCTGCAGCTCTCAGTCTGTCTGGTTCGGATACTCTCAACAACGGTCTCATCTCCGGGGTTTCCACGATGTGGGTGGGATGTGTGGGAATCCTACGTGGGTTCGGGTACCCTCGAGCACGGGGACGGGTTTCCGCACGTGGCAGACGTTTGGCTGAAGCCCAAGAAAGAAGTGATGGGTTTCCTCAGGTGTCAGACACCCCCCTCCCCCCCCCCTCCCCCCCCCCCTCCCCACACAGGCTGATCCCAAACTAAGCACTGCTCTGGTTCACTCCCAGGGCTCAGGGCGCATGTGCGGTTGTCAGTGCTACATTGTATCCGAGCGGCGATACAGTGAGAGAGTAACAGGAAAGGCTCCGACTCCGACACAGCGTCTCTCTGTCTCCATCTCTCTCTCTCTCTCCCTCTCTCACCTCTCTCTCTGCTCTCAGCAAAACCAGCCCCGTCTCTGTCTCCCCCTCTCCGTCCCCTTCTTTCCTTCCTTCCCCCTCTCTCTCTCTCTCTCTATCCGTTGTGAGGCTGCACCTGACAGTGATCATCTGCATCAGAGCCCCAGAGAGAGAGAGAGAGAGAGGCAAACACAGCGACTGTCTGTGTGTCTGAGTGTGTGTCTGTCTGTCTGTCTGTGTGTCTGTCTGTGCTCTCCGCTGTCTGCGACCTTCGCAACATTGTGGTCCGTGGCCTCGGGGTTTGAGGATGAGGTGAGTGAAGACGTGGTCTGGGGAGAGAGGGAGAGAGAGAGAGAGAGAGAAGGGGGAGGAGAGAAAGAAGGGGGGGAACCAGAGGGGGAGATAGAAAGGGGGGGTGGGGTGGGGGGAGATGGGGAGTGGGGGAGAGAGAGAGAGAGAGGAGGAAGCTGTGGGGGAGGCTGCCCCCCTGTCCCGGTCAGTTTGACCCTTGTACCTGCTGCGAAGTGCAGGTCAGGGGTTCGGGACACAGAAGCGGAGCGACACTCATTTTCTCAGCTCCTGGTGGATAGGAATCAGAGAGAAAGGGTTACGGGAGGCGCTGAGCCGCCTTCACCCGCATTCGCTATTTAAATATATAACTGATTAATAATAATAATAATTTGGTCACTCAATCCATGACTGTTTGCGCGACACTACTGTGCGCAGTTGGCTGCCGCGTTTCGCCCACGAAATACATACGGTCACTCCACTTTGCCGTATAACTCTGTGAAGCGCTTTGAGGTGTCTCGACGACGTGATAAGGCACTGTATCAACTGCGAGGACTTATTATTATGTAAACCTGCAGATCACCCAACTGTACCCAGCGATCAAATCCTTCCGAGGTGAGGCGCTACATCAAATGCAAAGGATGTTGTGGGAAATTCACAAAGAAATAGTCCTGGTCAGCCCAGATCCCAACCTGTCACCTGGGTCGGTGCCAGCCTGACTCGGGTTGGCACCATTCTCACTGAGTCGGAAGATTGTGGGTTGAATTTTTGAACTGACACTTCAGCGCATTGCTGGGACGGTGCAACATTGTCAGAGATGCCATCCAAAGGATGAGATCCCTGATCAGTCTCGTACTACTCGAAAAGAAAAGATTGTTGGTGTCCCGGCCAACAATCCCCCAGATGAAATTTGCCGTACGCTTCATAGCTATTTGAGGAGCATTGCTGGGTTGCAAATTGGCTGCCACATTTACCTGCAAAATACCCAGTCGCCACACTTTAATCCTGTGAAGCGCTTTGAGATGTCTCAGCAGTGAGGTACATCAAATGCAAGGATTACTATTGTTATTGCGACCAGAATCAACAGCTTTAAAAACCTCAGTTTTGTTTTGTGCACTTACTTCGTAAACAGTCTTTTGTTTACTACGTAACTGCCTTGTCTCAGCTTTAAGGTAATCAAAACAAAATAACAACAACAACAAAATTACATTAGTGTAGCGTCTTTCATGTCGGTGTGCGTGGGGACGGGGGGGGGACGTCCCAAGGCGCTGGGCAGTGTACAGCATTTCAGACCCCCGAGCTGGGGTCGGGGGGAAGAGGGGGAGGGGGTGACCAATAATAATCACTTGTACCGAATCTACTTTTTTTTCCCCCAAACAGAAATAACTGTTTTTGTTTTGTTACATTGTTTGTGAATGTTTTCTGTATTCTTCTGAAGATGTGCGTTGTTTATCCCAGCATTAACAGGTTTTTCTGTGTTTTAAGGATTGGAGCCATATCCCCTGTAGTAATGTTCAACTGGCACCTGCCTGTGCTTATCTTCGGGCTATCAGAGTGCATTGGCAAATCTATATCACAAACCGGACAAAATGAAGGAAAAGGTAAGTTTTATTATTGTTGGCCCTTTCCTACTATTGCAGCAATAAGGAAATCGAAAATTTAATCTGGATTAAACATCCCTTCCCCCACCCCACCCCTAAGTTGCCGTCCATTTTAATTTCCCTCTTATGTAAAGTGAATCCATAAGCTGTTGGGCTGAACCTGCTGTACATGGGCTCTGGCCCACCATGTGTTTGGATCACTTCAACAAACAACAAATTACATTTGTATAGCGCCTTTCACGTTGGGAGGACGTCCCGAAACACTTCAGGCAGTTTTGCGAGTGGCGTACAGTGTCACAATGGCGGTCTTATTCTTCCTCTGAGTGGGGTGTTCGGTTTCACAAAGGCAGTTTTATTCTACTAAGTGGTGTGGTTGTTTCACACTGCAAGAGTTTTGTTCTCATTGGTGGTGTCCTATTTCACACTGGCAGGGTTGTGGTTAGTTGTGTGCTGATTAACACTGGTTCTAGTTGAGTTGTGTGCTGTTTTGCAACCTGGGTGTCTTGTTTGACGCTGAACTGTCCTTTCTCCCCCACATCCGCGCCATGATCGGCACTGCCTACCACCACCTCCGCAACATTGCCAGACTCCGCCACTGCCTCACCCCTCAGGCCCCCAAACCCTCACCCACACATTCGTCACATCAAGGCTCGATAATGGGAACTCCCTCCTCATCGGCCTTCCCACTCTTCCCTCCACAAGCTGCAGACCATCTAAAACTCTGCAGCTCGTGTACTCTCACGCACCAGGCTCCGTGACCCCATCACTCCCACCCTCGCCCGATCCACTGGCTCCCCATCCCCCAGAGGATCGAGTTCAAGATCCTCATCCTCACTTTCAAGGCCATCCATGGCCTCACCCCTCCTACCTCTCTGACCCGCTGACTCCCTACCAACCTAACCTGCCCGCTCCCTCTGCTCGGCGGGCTCCAGCCTGCTCCATGTATCCCACCCAACCTACCATCGGTGGCCGGGCTTTCAACCTCTCTGCCCCGCACTCTGGATCTCTATCCCACAATCCCTTCGCCTCTCTTCCCCTCTTGCCTCCTTTAAGGCTGGTCTCAAGACCTTTCCCTTCGATCGCGCCTTTGGTCACCCACCTCTCTGCCTTCCCTCACCCCTACCCCACCCCTCCCCCATGCTCAGGTCCCGACTCTTGAAAGGCGCTCAATAAATGTAATTTTGTTGTTGTTTTAGTCTAGTTCATGGTATTCTGTTCCATGATCAAAATTAACACTAATCATCCAGGAATCTGTTCCCAGCACATTTTAACATTGGCTTCCTAGTATTTCGGAGCAGTGTGTGGCAGGAAATAGCTTCACACAGTAAAGGAATAACTCTGTCTGTGTTTCCTCCTTTTTTTAATTGATGTAAAATACAACTGTTTGCTTTTGGGCTCCCATTTGAATCACATGTACCTAAAACATTTTTCATGAATCGCGTGATCCGCTCACATTCTGTCATATCGGTGGTATTATCCACACACAAGGTGTGCCACCACAAAAGGAATGGTTTGGCAGTGGTATAAATCATACCAATATGATTTATACGCTCTCTTTCCTTAACCATCAAAAAGAAGCGACGTGTAAGGCGCTATACAAATATAATTTTGTTGTTGTTGGATATTGAAAGAGAAGTCTGAAATCTGCCCACTGAACTTCTTGCTCTAGGTAGAATATATCATTAATAATAATAATGATAACAACGATGCTTGCATTTCATACAGTGCCTTACCATGTCGTTGAGACGTCTGAAAGCACTTCACAGAATATGTTGTATATCTTGGACATAATGTATATTTTGTTGGCGAAACACGGTAGCCAATTGTGCACAGCAGTGTCCCACAAATATTTATGGAATAATAAGATTTAATAAGATTGTAACTTGAAAGCAATTTTGACGTAAATAAAAAAACACAAATGTAGTTACATGTTCAAAGGTTTACTCTGAAACAGTAAATATATTTTGATAAAGCTTCTGCTGCAACAGTAACAATCCTTGTCAATATCTTATCGCTGCAATTCTGATCCTTGTAACAGCACTGTTTATTTTGTGATGAATGTATCTCTCCCAACCAATTGGGGCAGCTTTAACTTGCGCGGAAGCTGTTAACAAAATGAGAAACAATATCAGGAACTCAAGCTCTTGAATGTAGCCGCGCAACTGGCGAGGTGAATGGGCAGGTGGGCAATCCAACCAACTAATTACTGGCTGCATTTTCTGTGCAAAGGGTCCGTAGCTTTCAAAACTACTTCTTCCTTCTTTACGTTGTCCTGTTAGCCATGTGGGCTCTTGCTATCTCGTTTACGGAATTCTGTTACGCGCTGATGTGATGTAATCACTCCGAGGTGCTGCCCGGGTGTGAAGGGAGCTATATAAGTGCAACTTGTTGTTGATGTGCCCTTCTCCCCACCCTTTGCCTGGAATCCATTCACAAACTGCCTCAAACAGAACTCGCCTTCAAAGGAATACACTGTGCCACCCAGCAAATAATCGCAAGTAAATCATTGAGCCAATAAGTTGTGCAAATCAATTACATCTGCAATTAAATTCCGGTGGTTAGTCATCGCTTTGTGCAGCCGATTTCATTACCACCCCCCCCCCCCCACCACCCACCACCCACCAGTTCCCCCAATTTGTTTCAGAATATTTTTCTGTGTACCAGTGAAGTTTCTGGCCTACAAACCTGGGATTTCATTTTCTCACATTTTTTTTTCTCTCGTCTGCAACATTCTCTTGCAGTTGTGTTTGTTTTTATATCGCAGTGCTATTATCCTGTGGTTTTGTTTCACGCTCGCTGTTCTGTGAGTGTGTGTGTGTGTGTCTGTTACGCTTTGTGTGTACACTGGCAAATTTCCTCCATATGGTTGTTTGTGTCCATGTTAGTGGTTAGCCTGCGCTGGTCCTGGGTGCAATTGAAAGTTAAAAGAGAATGCGTTCACCCAGAGAGTGCCAGTGGTCTGGAGAGCAGCACAGAGAAGGTGTCCTAAATTAGTTAAACAAAGAGAGCGCATCACAAAACCTACGATAAGTTGCAAAGAGACCAAGGGAAAGCCTGAGCCAGTTATTCAGTTAGATGGAGATGGGGGGAGAGCGTGTCGATATTATACTTGATGTTAAAAATGGGCTTATTCATTGCCAATGTGTTGAAATATGCATAGTGGTTAGAGCAAGCGAGAGGACCTTAGCCAAGTTTCCTTGTATCCAAGTTTACTCCACACGCCTTTGTTTACCAAGCATTAATTAGGAACCCAGTTGTTAGTCAATTGGCGGATCGCTTTTCTGGGGGTAATAATTCCTTTTGGAAAAAAGTAATAATTTGGTCACTCAATCCATGACTGCTTGTGGGACACTACTGTGCACAATTGGCTGCAGTCTTTTGCCCACAAAATATATAGTCACTCCACTTTACTATTGAGGATTATTATTAAATGCAACTGCCAAATTGCCCATAGTAATGTAACACAAACAGCCATGAAGGAAGCGCATGAAGTTTGTGGGGGAAAAAAATCAGCCTGGGGCCTTCTGAGGTTAACAAGATGATCTCTTAATATTGTCATAAAAAAAATCACTGTGGTGTAGGGAAATATTTCATGATGTATTCTTACACTTCATTTTTGGGATTGGATGAGCTTACTTAGATTTTTAGAGATTATTCACCAGGGAAACTCAACAAAGTATTACATCTAATCATATCTGAGCAATGCAGGGAGGGCGGGGGGGGGGGGGGGGGGGGGGGTGAGCCATCTGGGGCATGTAGAGAACCAGCTCTGCTGTTCCAGTGAGATAATAAAAATGTGCCTTGAGAGTACGAGTACTCAGATCGCTGGTGTTTTAATAAAGATAGAAAACGAAAACTTGCATTTATATAGCACCCTTCATGTGTGACGTCCTCCCGGCGTGAAAAGCGCTATATCAAGTTCCAAAGTTTCAGGGCGTGGTGGCTGAATGCTCAAAGATAAATATAAGCGAGTGTGAAACTATTGCGGATGCCTTTTGCTGTGAACACTATGTTGAGTTTTTTTTTCCACTCTGTGGAGTCCTGTAGCTCAGTGGTTAGAGCACTCGCTTTGCAAGCGAGATACCTGGGTTCAATTCCAGGCAGAGGGCGAAACTTTGGGCAAGTTTCCTTACTCCACACAAAGCCTAATAATAATCCCTCCAAAACCAAAAACAATAATAAATTGGTCATTTTCAATCTACGACTGTTTGTGGGACATTGCTGTGCGCAATTGGCTGCCGCGTTCGCCCACAAATATACAGTCAATTCACTTTACAGTATATTCTGTGAAGCGCTTTGGGACGTCCTCCCGACGTGAAAAGCGCTATATCAAATGCAAGGATTATTATTATTATTATTATATTCCCAGCTTTTTCACTTTTAATTGGGTCTTCATTCACATGCACTATCCTCAGGGTCCATGAACCATGTATTGTAGCTGTACTTGGCACTTGAGGAACACTGAGTCACGGCACTCAGCACAGTATTCACTGACCAGCTGCACTTTCACCTTTTGGTTCGAACCTTTGTGCCGTGAAATCACAGGAATTGCTGGAACAAAAAAGTCCAAGATCCATCTAGTTCGCCTTCTACCACCCCAGTAATATAATAATATAATAATAATCCTTGCATTTGATACAACCTTATCAGGTCTTCGAGACGTCTTAAAGTGTTTCAAACAATATACTGCAAAGTGAAAAGGCTGTATATTTTGTGGGCGACAAGCCAATCGCGCACAAAATGTACATACTGTAATAATGTTGACAGCAATTAATCATGTCGCAATCTTGGGTTTAATCGACAGTTGTGACTGGCTGCAGTAGTAATATGATTCAGTCTATTGATTCATTTTGGCAATCAAAATGGTTAATTTTTCTGTACTTGTGTTTGTTTACTTTTGCCAGCATTTATTAAAGAAAAGGAAGCTCAGAGTTTCCTTGGAAGGCGGATCCTGTATAATCGCTGGGACTTTGAAATATTTACACAAGGAAATCTCGAAAGGGAGTGTTTTGAAGAAATATGCAGCTTTGAAGAGGCACAAGAAGTTTTTGAGGATGATAAGAAAACTGTAAGTAATTTGTGCTTCGAGTTGTAAATGTGTTTGGAGTGGAGTTTAAAAAAAAAGCAAATGTAGTTAAGTTTCGTCATAATTGTATCTTCTGCTAGAGACAAAAACAAACATTTATTTTTTGTGTTGCAGAAACTCTTTTGGAAAGAATACACAACAAAGGGTCCCTATGCTAAGCCAGGTAAAAAGAGAGTTGTTTTTCCTGTTGTTTTTCCTGTTCAAATGTAATTCATTGTTATACGATTAAATTATATGGTCCTTTATTGACTTACTTGTGCCATTTCACTGCAAACCTTTGAGCTTTCTCTTGATGTCCTGGGTATAGCAAACATAAGAGTTCATTCCATGATAAAATGAATACACAAACCCAACTGTATCATTGTACTATTTGCTGTCAAATTGTCAGTATGAGTGTCCCCAACCCCTGTGTGTCTACCCCAATGGTATAGTGCTACTCTTCTCTCATTATAGAAAAGAGTGAGCCTTCTACTACATTTACATGAAAGTTTGACGGCAAAAAGACTTTTCCCCCCTTTGGAACTGCAAGAACTTTGAGAACAAAGTTATGATATTTAATAAAGAGGGGGAGAGAGTTGATTGAAGTACAGTATTTAACATGAAGTAGTTGGAAAATTTGAATTCAAGTAAGTTATTTTTCTGCAGTGAAACAATTTCCAGAACAAGAAGCTTATCTTCAAAATAAGAACAGCAAAGGGAATAGGAATTATTTTTATGTAATAAAGGGAAATGGTGATAGAATGTGGAGCAAGCTTCTAACACGTTCGGTGGAACAAGAAACTACAAAGGATTTCAAAAAGGGACCAAAGAAGTTCCTGTCAAATAAAATGATTCAGGGTTATTAGATTTAGAGATGGATACATCAAAGGAATGTTACGAGAAATTGCGAGTAGGGATATGTTGGACGTTTGCCTAAAATTGTGACTATGTTACTGTTTAAAAGCTGAATTATGTATGAATATTAATGCTCCATCCGATAAAATCTCTCGCCAATTTTACTCATTCTTTCCCCATTCCTAGCAGACGGTTAAACATGTATGGAGACCTTTTATCCTTTCCTTCTTTCTCCCCTCCTGCCTCTGACACATCCGAGCACATGACCACATTATTTCTCAGCTTGGTTTAGATTTGAGATAATCTCTTATTACCAAGAATTCAGTTTGTGTGAGTAATGTGAATGCTCACCAAATCAATTGCATTTTTAATCAGCATGTGAATCCCTAGGGCTACATGGCTGAGATGTTTGATAAGGTACACTGCTGTAGTTTTCACAGTTTACTTAATGCGTTCCCAGTCAAGGATCTTATGAGAGAAAGGTTACTGATTACAAAGTTGAAGAAATGCCTGCCTTGAAAAATAAGGATTAAGTGAATGCACCCGATGGCCTAGTGGATAAATATACTGCTGGCTTGCAGATCAGGTCACAGATACTCGTCTGTACTGAGTTTGTTAATCTCAGCTGGGGCAACATTTGGAACATTATGACTGACCTTAGGATCGACCTTCGTACGGAGGAGGGCACAAATCAGCCAGGATTTCTGCTTCTCACTATTCAGTTACCTGTGCTGTGCACCTGTGGATTAGGATAGATAGACTTCATTGGAGGAGCAAACCCCAACACTACTACATTCCTATGGAAAAAGCAGGTGTGAATGTTGGGTGAAAACTGAATTGGGCTCAGCTGTGATGTCCTCTGTAGTTGAATATTTTGCAGCTGAGTTCAGGGCTACATACTGTATAAGGAATGAGCGCTTAGATGTTATACCAAATGGGTGCTGGAACTATGGCTCTTTATACAAAACTTTCAGCATTACCAAAAGGGTTTGAGAGTTGTTTGTACTACTTTATTTAACCAAAAAAATGTATTGAATATATATCTTCCAGGTATTTCAACTGATATCACCACGATTGTTACAGCATTTTTTACCACAGCAGTATTCATAGTTATAGTGGGACTGTTGGCTTGGTGTTACTGTAAGCGAAGATACAAAGACCGAAGTAGCACAGGGTAAGTTATTGAAAACTTTCATATCATTAACAACAAGATTCCATTTATTGTTGTTGACACAATTGTTGTTGTTGTTGTTGTATTAAGTCTTGTGAGCACACTTGAGGTTACTTTGCAATCTTTGTTGGACAGTACGGGTAGCAATGAAGTAATGTATTTCTTAAAATATATTTGTATCAGTATCAGTATCAGGACACTGATGGTGAAATTCAATAAGAGTTTTGTACAAGTCTGCAGCATTGAGGATATAAAACCAATGTGGGGTCGCCTGAGTTTAATCTTCTACTGCAAACACTGTTTTAAATGTCATAACATTTGCTCCAAATGAAATTTTAATATGTACAATAAAAACCTGCCAAACAAAATCTGCCCTAATGAAAACCGAGCAACCTGAGCAGTTCTATTGAGCTGTAACATTCTGTAACACATGTCTGTGTGGTTGATGTGTTCTGCTTATCTGGTTGTATAAGAATAAGAACAATTACATCTCTGTTTCCACCACTGTCCTCCATATCGATATTATACATTGTGTATTTTTAATTCAACCAGAATTTTGTTTTCTTTCATCATTACAAAGCTTGCCTTTAGGTTATAGCTAATGTTAGAACATAAGATCATAAGAATTTGCTCGACCAAGATCCACCTAGTTTGTCTTCCACCATCCTGGCAGTCATTTGACATGTCGTGACCCTAAACTATATACTGTGTCCCCAGATATTATTTTCTAGCAGAAATCTATCTAATTTGTTCTTGAAACAATCAACACTTTCTGCTAACACCTAGGGACCCTGTTCTGTAAGTTATCTGTCGTCACACATTGCATGTTAGCTGATTACAGGGTCCAGTTGAAAGTCTGTGGCTTGTTTTATGTTTGCACAAGCATCGTAGAGACATAATAATAATAATAATAATAATAATAATAATCCTTGCACATGTTGAAGAAGTCTACTTTGTTTTGAGTCTTAATGTATCTCTTTGTTCTAAAGAACCCACATGATTTTTTTAAAAAGCAAACCTTTTTTTAAAATTCTCATCAACTTTCCTTTCCCCGATTTCCTAAAGGTTTGTCTTTTTGACTTCTAATGGGATGCAATTCCTAAGGTCTGACTGACTATCCTGTGGATCCTTGTTCAAGTGATTAATGTTCATGTGTGATAGTGAACATCAGTAGGCAGTTCAATTATTATAATAATAATAATAAAATAAGCCTTGCATTTGATATCACACCTTATCATGTTGTTGAGACGTCCCAAAGCACTTCACAGAATATATTGTTTAATGGATCGACTGTGTATGTTGTGGTCGATGCAAATTACAAAAAAAAACAAATTACAATGTAAAGGATCGTTCAGCAGCTTAAATTGCACGGAAGGCCAACTGACATAAACCATTAAATATTTACAGATTTCCTTCAGCTGCAGCATAAACTATTCCAATGAACCTTGTGCTAAGACAGTCTAAAACTACACGAGTGAAGAAAAGGGAAGATGTAGCCTCACAGGGTTGGAATGCAATGTCCTCAATGGTATGGCCCCAGATCACGCACTAGATGGCGGCCTTGTCCTGTTCAGGAGAGGTGAACGTGTAGTCACGATTCATAGACTTTTTATCTTTTTATTGTTAGTGCTTTCTCATTTTTATATTTTCCAAGTCGGTGCAGTTACGGCTGATCACAACCGGAGTATCTGGTCATAACAATGGGAGTGACGCTGTTGGCCTAAGTGTCCCTGTCCTAAGGAGGAATCTGATCCGCCAGGGTTTCCTGCCTCTGTGACCTATCCGGTGACCTATTGTGTAAAGAGCCTGGATGGTAATCCGGCTTGGCTTTGATGTGCTCTTATCGTTCTCCAGCTTTCTCTGTCAAGGCTCACCCCATGATGAATAGCCCTTTGTGCAACGTACCGGTCAGTGGGCTACCACAACTTGTGGAACTCTGTACCCTGCCAAGAGTTATTGGCTTCAGGCAGAAAATAAGACAGGAAAAGGCTTTCAAGCTCTCCAAAGATGATTCATAATGTGGTTTCTTACCTTGTTCCTGCAGTGGGGGCTTTGAATTACATTGCATATTGGTTCGAAAAAAAATTCTTATTTTATCCTAAACATCTGTTTCGACCACAAAATATACAGTCAGTTAACTTTACAGTACATCCTGTGAAGCGCTTTGAGACGTCTCGAAGACGTAATATATTATTATCTGCCACCTTATCATTTCAAATTGTCTTATTAGAGGAACTGAAGATGTCCCTGCAGATCCTGTACCCTTTACGTCGGTTGAAGAGCCAGGATTACCCTCGTATGAGCAGGCACTCCAAACCACTGGACAATATGATGGACCTCCACCACCTTACCAGCCTGGGTAAGAAATAATTGTATCCTAAATAAGCACACTTATAGTTTTGTTTCATTAAAAACACAAAATATCATTGTGACTGCTTCTCCTCTCCCCCCCGCTCCCCCCATTAGTAATTCTCGAACAGCAAACTTTTGCTGCAACAGTAGCTGTTTTAAAAATGAAATTATTGGCTTTATCGGCCAATTATAGGCTGCTATCATACGCACTTTACAGCAGCTGGTAAACTGAGTAGAATTAATAACAAAAATAATAATCTTTGTATTTGATATAACACCTTATCACATCTTTGAGACGTCTCAAAGTGCTTCACAGAATATACTGTAAAGTGGACTGACTGTATATTTTGTGGGGGAAACCTGGCTGCCAATTGCGCACAGCAGTGTCCCACAAACAATCGTGGATTGAGTTACCAATTTATTATTTTTTTTTGAAGGAATTAATACCCTGGAAAACTGTTGCACCAATCAACTCACAACCAGGTTCCTACTTACTGCTTGGTAAACAGAAGGGTGTGGAGTAAGGAAACTTGCGCAACGTTTCGCCCTGCCTGGGAATCAAACCCAGGTCTCTCGCCTGCGAGGCCAGTGCTCTAACCACTGAGCTACAGGACTCCCAAGAAACCTGGAAATGCATTGTACATATATTGTACATACATTTGTTATGTAATGGATTTTACTTTGTTTCCACAGATCTTTCGGTCGCTGTAAAACCCAAAGCTCTCGATAACGGACAGACGAGTTTGTAATAGAAACGTAACACCAGCAGCACACTTAAACTTCAACGTATTAAATCACCTGCACTTTGGTCTCCCCCAATGGACTAATGGCTAAAAGCATCACCATAGCACTGAGCCATACAGACTGGTTGCAGATACAGTTTTTGGCCTGGGCTGAAGTAAGTCTCAGCCAACGCAGCGAATGGGGTGCTGCAATTAGCTTTAGCGCTCCTGAGATTAGGACAGGAGTAAAATAATCAGCACTGGTTTCTGTTCTTGATTGCTATCCAGTGAACCCCCTGGTCAAAATGTGGACTTCGACCGATCAGGCTGGGCTGCGATTCCCTCCACAGTCAAGTGTTGTGTCAAATGCTCACGGATTAGGCTCACGTGAAGAATGGCAAAACTACATGTAAGAAAAAAAACTTAATTTTGCAAAATAACGTAATGCTAACTTTCTTTCTACATATGCTCTGTTTGTCTGTAAATTCACAATTTAATAGGAATTTGCAATGACATGATGGAAATAATCAGGCGTCGATTGCAGAAATATCGCACTTCACTTAAAATTTGATAGTTTAATTTTGAATTTGGTATTTTAAAACCCTGTAATATGAATTATTTCGCTAATTTTTCAGATTTTGGGGGTTTCTCATTGTGAACTGATTAAAGATCTTTCACCAGCTTGCCAGAATACAAACCTCAGATCTGATTGAGGTGTTTAAAATGATAAAAGGATTCGAGAGGGTAGCTGCAGAGAAACTATTTTGTCTTGTGGGTTGGGGAATCCAGAACAAGGGGCCATCGTCTTAACATTAGGGCTAGGCCATTTGGGAAGGAAATCAGGAAGCATTTTTTAATGCAAAGGGTCGTGGGAATTTGGAACTCTCTCCCTCTCCCAAAAGACTGTGAATGCAGGATCTATTCAAATTTTCAAGACTGAGGTGGATAGGTTTTTATTAGGTCAGGGTATCAGGCGATGTTGGGGCAAAGATATTTGGAGTTGTGGTACAGATCAGCCATGATAAATTGGTGAAACAGGCTCGAGTCCTGTGTTCCAAATCAGTTCCAGGTTGCAAGGACTAATGAAAGATAATCAGATATTTTCAAAATAATCCATTAAAACTCAACCTCGGTTTCTTTCGGGAGACCTCAGCACATAAAGTAGATTGTCAGAACATGTATTTGTTGAAATATTGCTTTTTATTCAAAGTTAGATCTTAAACAACTCCCATCATAGCCCAGCACCGATGCAAAGTACTCAAGTTCTCAAGACATTGACTGGTCCCTTGGCTTATCCACATCAACTGTCCTTGTAAACTAGTGTTGTCCTAGTTGCCAAAATCATCTTGCTCTGCATAAGATGTGACCAAAGCCAGACCCCTCATAAGTACAAACCAATATCTCTGCTACCAAACATGATCAAAACCAATATGAACTAGACGCTGATAAAACATCTGGAACAACCTTCAGAGGAGATTGAGCTGCTTATAACACGCTAATCATTCCATAGTGATTCTCTCAGTATTCACCTACAAGTTAACTAGTTGACACTTAACATTTGGCATGGCTTGCTAGTCTGATTGAACAGATCTGACCACCTTTTAACATATCTGGTTAGTTGTCAAACTGGATATGTAGCTTTCCCCAAGGATACAAGCATTGGATCACTATAACTACATGACTCTGGGTTCCCTCAGGAAGTGTACTTGGCTCAATGGTGTTTACTCTCCGTCACTGACCTAGTGGATTTGATGACATGTTGATGATGCTACTCTCCTGAGAGTGAACTGTAACTGATTAATAAGCTGTGAGTGAATCATTGCAGAGAGATGTACAATTACACAACGAGGGGACAAATGAATTATTTTCAACCTCTGAGAAGGTCAAGTTGATCAATCTACCAAAAAGGATTAAGTGTAATATTGCCAGCCAACCTCTACATGAAAGGGTTGCAAATATTTCAGTAACAGTTATTAGCTCTTTGACTCTATCATTTGACCTGAGTTCGGCCAAAAGCCAGCAAGTACAAGAAGGATAGTTAGGAAAGGTGCGAGGAGAGTGGCAATCGCAAGAAAATCTTACTTGTCCAAGCTGTCAACGAAACCTGATCATTGCTTGTGAATCTTGTCAAAATAGTTTATTCTATCTGAAATAGATACAGTTGAACCCCTGGAGAATTTATTTTTTTCACCTCAACGACTTACATGTAAAAACCTGTTATAAGGAAAAACACACAAAAAAATCTTTGTCAACAGTGTGGGTTCAGATCCAGAATCCTTTAGAATACATACGTGCACAGTATTTATAAATAGCACATTTCACCTTGGCACTTATTTTTTCTCGAAACAAAAAACAAAGAAACAGGCTGTTTGGGATTAGCAAATCAGAAAGGATATTTGGTAAGAATGCTTACATATACATCTCCAACTTATATATTCAACCGCCTAATTACCTTCAACTATGAATGCAGGTATTGCAGACTTGCCAAAAAAAACAAACAAATGTGGTGTGTTGAGGTGCTGTTAGAGATATTGTGAAAGGAGGAACACAGTAGTGGAATTGAGGGCTGATCAGTTTAAAAACAAATCCAAGGGAGCCACTAGTGCTGTTAAGAAAGCAGGTGGCTGTGTAACACATACAACCGAGAACATATTCATAAGGATTGTGTACAATTCCACTTGCAAGCTTTACAAATCGGAATGACATCCAAGTGGAGCAAGTATAGACGCTTTCCTAGTTAATTTGAATTTCCATTCCCACCGGGTGAGAGATCAAATTGACTTAAATAAGACCATCACTGAGAATGAAATTGGAGGCACTGCACAATTGCTGTCTGCAGGCAATTCCCCAGCCTTAGAGAGTATTCTGGTGAGAAATTATGCAAGGCGGCATGAAATTATTTCCAAGGCATTGGGTGTGATTTGAGATTTTTTTTTAACAGTAGAATGGTATGATTTTATTTAGCATTGCTGAATACATATTCCCAAGGCAGATGGGGATGTAAGGGAGATGTGCAGCTACCCAGATTTCTGTTGTAAATGTATGCTCACTGAAATACCAGTGAGCATAATTGGGCAGGTTTCATATATTCTTTGGATAATACCTCGTGTTTTTGTAACATTCAAATTGTAGGGCACATTTAGGTTGGGACATGTTTCAAGCGACTGCCAGAGTGGTGGAAGGCAAACTGGACGCACCTTGGTCTTCTTTGACCCAGCAAATTCTTATGTTATGATGAATCTCCTTGAATTAGAAATGTGTCATATTGGGAAGATGCAGCCTTTACTTTAAACTTAAAGGGATGGAAGAAGAAACAAAGGGATTCTCTATTAAGCAGATATACTAATAATAATTATTATTAGATATAGTGCAGATGTTATAGTAAAACAAAATAAGGGGTTCAATAATAGTTTATTGTAGTGGGGTAGGGCGTTCCCTCTTTTTGCAGTAAAATATCTCATTAAGACTATAAATTTGCTGACAGAGTAAATTATATCACCAACTTGTTTCCTTTGGACATTCCCATCGCATAACAGGTCCTGCCACATAGTTTCCAGTGGTATTATAAGCTGTGAGAATTAATTCTGATGAAGTAGATGAGAATTTAGGAATTGGAAACAGTTGGCGCTGAACTACCTCCAGTTCTTGTGTATGGATTTTTTGGGGTAGGCAAGCTTCAGCGAGGCTGTATTTGGATTGGAATCCATCCAGTTGGTGGGATATGGAATAGCCTTCCACTAGTCCTGTGCCGCTCTTCTGCTCCCCCTCCCCCCCGTAAAGATTCTATGTCATCTCAGTGCGAAATAGAGATGACGGTTCTTGAGGTGGGGGGAACTGTTCAGCGAATCCTCTTCCTGATTCCAGATGCTCTTTCAAATAACGCTGTCAAATGTGAATGTGATTGACTCGAGATTTTAGGCACTGGAAAAGCTTTGATACAACTAAATCCTCTAACGGAGATTTGTGTTGGGATATTGTGTGGTGTCGTGGCGCTCCTTTTGCCTCCACACATCTCTGTAATCTTTAAGTTCCGGTATAACGGCCCTAAGAATGAATTTATTTTCCTCTTACCTTAAAATACTAACGTTCCTGTGCCCCTGTTTTTTTTCTGAAAGGGAAGTCAGATCGTTAGAATTTGCTTCTTTCCAAATGAGTTTAGAAATGCAATAGTCCTAATTATTGCTAATTTGTACCCTTCTTAATTTTGCTTTCTGTATTTTGTATACCCTATATTTTGTTGTGGATTTCATGTTTGTAAACAGTTTCAATTGATAATAAAACTTATTTCATCAAAAAAATAAACTCACCTTTACTTTGTCCGCAAAATATACAGTTATTTCACTTGACAGTATATTCCGTGAAATGCTTGGAGACACCTCGACAAGGTCATGAGGCGCTATATTAAATGCAGGGATCATTATTATTATTTTGTTACCCTCGACTGTTTGTGTTCCACGAAGCCTATGTGTATCCTGTGATGGAAATATTGTACTTAATTTGTTTCAAAACAAAACTCATCTTTCCCTATAAAGAGGGATAGAAACATCACAATGTATTTGCTTACATCACGTTCTATGAACTGCACAACTTTAATCATTATTTCCAGGTCTTATTCCTACAGTATTTAGAGTATAATTGTTTTATTAAGTCTAGTTCTTACAATACTAGTCAGCCTTGCATTTGATTTGCACTTTCATGTAAGGAAGAGGTCTGAAAGCTTCATTTTAAGCAGCCACAGGACAGGATTCACTTTATTTAGCCACATTTAGCCACCGAGTTGCTACAAACACAAAAAAATAACAGCAAATGCATTTAATGTCGTAATAATCCTATACTGGCATTTTGTTGTAGCGCCTTTCAAGTCCAGAGCATATCTCAAAATGCTTTCAACGACAACTTGCATTTACACTGATGGTGCTCTTCAGGTGGGCAGCGTCTCTTGAGCGCTTTCACCGGATTTTCCAGTAATGTGTAGTGACTGTGTTTTCCAGGTGAAAAGCAGTAATAACTAGGTGAGTGGATGTGTAGAGAGTGAAGAGAAATGCAAAGGGTATACAGTCGTGGTCCGCAAAATATACAGTCAATCCACTCTGCAGTGAAGCGCTTCGAGATGTCCCGAAGACGTCGGAAGGCACTATATCAAATGCAAGGATTCTGATTATAATCAGTTCCCTTCCAACATCCACCAGTTTCTGAGGAAAGGTCATCAATGAAACACATTTCCCCCTCTCTCTCTATAGATGCTGCCTGACCTGCTGAGTGTGAGTGAGTGTGTGTGTGAGTGAATGTGTATGAGTGTGTTGGAGTGAGTGAGTGTTAGTGAGTGTGTTATGTGAATGAGAGTATGTGTGTGAGTGAGTGTGAATGAATGTGTGTTGAGTGGTTGTGTGTGAGTGAGTGAGTCAGTGTGTGAGTTTGTGTGTGAGTGAGTGAATGAGTGAGTGTGTGAATGAGTGCTGTGAATAAGTGTGTGAATGAGTGTGAATGAGTGTTGTGAATAAGTGTGAGAGTGAATGTGTGTGAGTGCGTGTGTGTTGGAGTGAGTGAGTGTGCGAATGTGAGAAAGTGAATGTGTGTGAGTGTGTGTTGGAGTGAGTGAGTGTGTGAATGTGAGAAAGTGAATGTGTATGAGTGAGTGTGTGTTGGAGTGAATGTGTGAGTGTTGGAGTGAGTGAATGTGAGAAAGTGAATGTGTATGAGTGAGTGTGTGTTGGAGTGAATGTGTGAGTGTTGGAGTGAGTGAGTGTGTGTGAAT